TTTATGTTGACTTTTATATAAGAGATACTGAAAGGAAGAAGAAAAATTGTTTGGAGTTTACTGTGAATAGGAAAGTTTCTTTTAAATTTCCCTATTTGAATCAATCAGAGGCGAGAAGGCGTTAAAAGAATATGGTTGTGGCTTTGGATTTAACGGGAAAGAAGTCAGCCCTTCTCAACATATACTTTGTGAGTAGCCAGATATACACCTGCAAAGTACATGTTCAGAAGCCAAAATTCATTTCTGGTAATGATTTCTTCTAAACTGATCGTTATGTAAAAATTCAGAATGACTTGAATTTGTGTTGGAATTTGTTGCATTTCTTGTGCTGGCATGGTTCCAGTATAAGCATCAAGGATCTGTGTCCCAGTCTTGGTGACAAAAGGTCATTTTCTCTCTCGAGAATCAGAAAGAGCTGTGCTACTGAACTGAGAACTCAAGAGGGCCCCTGACTGCCCATCAGTCTCTAACCAGTCAGTAACCCATTCCCCCGGGAGCTTCCAGAGACATATTTTCCCTGGGTCTCCAGAACTGTGCAAGTTGGGTGAATTGTAGAAGAAAGAGGTCTTATTCAAAATACAACTTTCTTCTGTGTTGACATTAATCTAGTTCATTTCTTTCACTTTTATTAGCCTTTTCCCTAGGACTTTAAAATAAAATTTCTCTGAAAAACATACTTTCCTATAATTTATTCCTCTGCTTTATCATAAAAATCCTTTAACTATGTCAGACACCCACAGTCTTTCTAGTTGTCTTCTAATCCTACTTTGGTTCCTAAAACTAGAGAGGTTCAAAGTAAAATTTTGCAAAATGGGGTCTCCTTAGAGCTCACTGGGAGAGTGAACTTCCTCTTGAAAGAGTCTCTCATACCTGCATTTCTGGAATATCTAGGATCATTCCCCCAATTGACATAGCCAACAGTCTCACCTTCCATTTCCTTTCTGTCTTCTATTTTAGCAGACAAAGTTAATCTTTCTTTTCCAAGACTATATATATTGGCAGAGGAATTTGAGTAATAATCACCATGGTATATAAAAAAACCTTCATTTATCAAGGCCACCCAGAGTATTGGCTCTCTAATCAGATAGACCTGCGTTCATTTCCTGTTTCTGCTACTCACTAGCAATGATCACAGACAAGTTAGTTACTGTATATTTCACATTCTTCTTGTGTAAAAAATACTAAAACACACAGACACACACACACATATACACCTTTTCCCCTAGGACTGTTGTGAAAATTAAATGAGATAATGTGTATGATGTCCTACATGGCCCTTTGAAGCAGAGGTCTGCAAACTGCTTCTACAAAGGACAAAATAGTAAATATTTTAGGCTTTGCTAGCCATGTGGTCTTTGTCACAGTTATTCAACTCTGCTGTTGCAGTTTGAAAGCAGCAGCCATAGGCTACACATAAATGAATGAGTCTGTAAAAGTAAAAACTCCTGTTTTTCCTCTGCTATCAGTACTTTACTTCTCACACCAAATATGTGTATTTTCCTCACCAAGCAATTCTCCAACACCAATCAGATGTCCTGTGATTTAATTCAAATCTGACACTATCTACCTGGAGTTCGTGTCAGATCTCATAGATTAAGGGCTCAGTTCCCCGAGACTGTTCCCACTTCAGATGCCAATCACGAGTCCAGGCTTCTGGTACTTCTGACCAACCAGCTCTAAATTGAAGTTCCCATGACCCCCTCCTCAGGTTCAATAATATGCTGGAATAGCTCACAGAATTCAGGAAAACAATTAATTTACTGGATTATCAGTTTATTATAAAAGGATACAACTCAAGAATAGCCAGATGGAAGAGATGCATAGGGCAAGGTATGGAGCAAAGTACTTGAAGCTCATGCCCTCTCTGGGTACACAGCCCTCCCAGTACCCCCATGTGTTCATCAACCCACAAGCTGTCTCCAAAACCCCTTCAGTTAGGGTTTTTTATGGAGGTTCGCTATGGAGGCATGACTGATTAAATCATTGGCTACTGGTAACTAACCTTCTTCCCTCCCCTGAGATCTGGGTGGGACTGAAAATTCCAACTCTTTAATCACAGGGTTGCTCCCCCTGGCAACCAGACCCCATTTTGAGGCTATTCAGGAGCCCCTAGGCACCAGTTACTTATTAGCATACAAAAAGACACTTACTAACTCTGGAGAGTCCAAGGGTTTTAGGAGCTCTCTGCCAGGAAACAGGGAAAGGGGGAGGGTGGGCAGAGACCAAATATATATTTCTTATTATGTCACACCATGGCTGTGTTCCAATGGAAATTTATTTACGGACACTGAAATTTGAGTCTCATATAGTGTTCATGTATCATGAAATATTCTTTTGAATTTTATTCAACTGTTTCATAATGTGACTACCATCCTTAGCTTGAAGGCTAGACAGAAACGGACAGCAGGCCAACCCTTTAAAGGGTCCTGAGTGTCTGGTGTTCTCCTCAGCGCTGCTTTAGCTTTGCCTGACCCTCCCAGTCCTGGCCCAGTGTAGGCATCTCCTCCACTGCCCACGCCTCCACCACTGATACATTTGTTCCTGTTCTCCAGGTTTTCTCTCTGCTGTTTTCCTGTGTGGCCAGGCCTACACTTCCTGATTAATTTTTTCTTGGTTAGGTTGGATATTTATCTCCAGCAGTGCTTAAAAGTCTTAAGTTTTCATGGCTATATTAGTTTGTCGTTCTTTTTCTCAAGGATATTGGGAAAAGTACTAAGGGCTGGATTAGAAAAATCATGAGGGTCATTACTGTCTTCTTCCAGAATCTTCTTTCCAAGTAGGACAGGTTAGAGCCCAGATAATTTGACTTTCCTCTACTATAGGGTGAATTCTGTGCTCCTAAGCTCACCCCTTCCTTCTCATCAAGGATGAGGCCACCCTGATATCTCCTCATTGTTCAAAACGTTAATTCAATTGTTGCACAAGTGTCACAGTCAATCCCAGAATCCATTTTACTCTTGTCAGAAACCCCCTACATCTGACTTAATTTTAACCAGACTCCAGGTTAGTTACTTTGATTTCTCAAATGTCCAAAAATTAACATGCTTGTTAGTGTCTCACCTTTCTGGGCTCATCACCTAAAACTTTCTACAAAATAAGTAAATATTGAGGAGGTAAGTAGATAAAAGGGTCAACCCTTATTCAATATTGAAAAGAATAGCTTTAAAAGCAGTGATTAGAGACAAGATTCTTTGTATAACAAATACTAATCATTTGTCAATCTAGCATTCTAAGAAAAGAAAATGATATACCATAGAATTTCTGTTTCAGCTTGGTTGTTATGAGTTTATTTTCTTTAAAAAATTTTCCACATTGGGAATAATGTGCATTTATAGAAAATAGTATGTACTCCAATGACATAAGCCTTCCTTGATTTATATAATAGGTTTGATATAATGAGCAGAAAAAGAGATTTCCAATCTAACATTAGTCTCTCAATTTTTATTCTAATATTTTATTAAAGAAATCTGGCATGCAACTTATTAGCTAATGGGATTACGTAAGATAAAACCAAAATAGAATCTTACTGCGCTGGGCTGTGTGGTAAACTCTATTATTTTGTAATTGAATAAAAGCCACCCTAACTATTGACACAGATATTACTTTCTTGGTATGCATTAATGTTCTTCAAGTGAAGAATGTTTTCTATATTTCTAGAGCACCAAGCACCTGCTGTATATCAGAATTCCCTTGGCTTTGAAAAGTCATAAGAAAAAGTGTCATACATATAAAACATTAGTGGATCTGAGAAGATAGAATAAATGTGTTAATCACTTATTTAGTGATTTATGTTAGCATGATTCTCCTATAGAATGACTTCACACATATTTTCTCTAATCCTTCCCATATCCCTGTTTCATCACAATTTTGCCATTTTACGGGTAACAGGAACCCAATGAAGTTAAGAAACTTGTTCAGTGTCAAACTACTGCTTGAGTAGTAATTTTTTTTAACAATTAAAAAATTTTATTCGTAGGAAACTTATGCTAAGAGAGATAAATGATCTATCCATGGTTACATAGCATATGATTGGATAAACCAGATTATCTTAACTTATAGTATTTTTGCAATGTAAACAACATGATATGTGCATATCATCTACTAAAATATGCTAAGATGGCATTAGTGAGGTTTCAGTTAATCCCACTTTACAAGAATATCAGATTGATAACCAATTTCTATAGGTACAAATGGGAATATATATCAAAGGCCTTAAATATTTTCTTTCCTTTTTATTATTTATTTTATTTATTTATTGAAGTATAATTGAGATACAATATTGTGTTAGTTTTGGGTGTACACCGTACTGATTAGATATTTATGGACATGGATGTTTATAGACATTATGAAATGATCACAGGGATCAGTCTAGTTACCATCTGTCACCATGCAAAGTTATTGCACTATTATTGACTATATTCCCAATGTTGTACATTATGTCCCCATGACATTTATTTTATAACTGGAAGTCTGTACCTCTTAATCCCCTTCTCCTATTTCACCTGCCCCCCAGCTTCTCCCCACTCTGGTAACCACCGGTTTGTTTTCTTGTATCTCTAAGTCTGTTTTTATTTTGTTTTGTTTGTTTGTTTTGATTTTTAGATTCCACACATAAGGAAATCATATAGTATTTGTCTTTCTCTGTCTGACTTACTTCACTTAGCATAATACCCACCAGCTCCATCTCTGTTGTCACAAATGGCAAGATTTCATTCTTTTTTTATGGCTGAGTGATATTCCATTGTATATATGTATATATATACCACATCTTCTTTATCCATTCATCTATCAGTGGATGCTTAGGTTGCTTCCATATCTTGACTATTGTAAAGAATGCTGCAGTGAACATAGGGGTGCATATATCTCTTCAAGTGAGTGTAATCCACATTTATTCATCACGTACTGTGTGCCAGGTACTTTTCTCAGTGCTTTGCATTGATTGATATTTACTTTCACAACACGTTTATGAGATAGTTGCTGTAAGTATCCCTGTTTTCCAGATGGAGAAAGTTGAGGTAAAGTTAAGTCAAGAACTTGACTAAAGCGCAGAGCTGTTAATGGGGGAGGCAAGAAGCAAGCACAGACCATCTGGTCCTGAGGCCTGGGGTCCTCATGCTATACTAACGCCACTGCCTCAGGGCACAACTGTGCATGGCAGCAACTCTTAGGTGAGCTGACTTTTCCAAATCATGAACTGTTGTACTAATCATCCTCTGCAGATGTATCTACATATATATATGTCAGATACTTAAAAAATCATCATTACAGAAGAGGGAAAATATATGTGTATGTATGCATGTATAAGAAGTCAAAGATGTGCTTCCAGGACTTTCTGAGTGGCCAAAATTAAAAAGAAGAGAAAATGGAAAGATTGTAATGTCATTATTCATCAGTTTCATTAAGCCACTTAAATGAAATTTATCAATCAACTCAGCTGTTTAATCATCATGGATTTGTTTTCCTTTTGAAAGTTTCATCAGGTTATATTGCCTAAATCATAATGAGGTCTGAAAAGTCTTGGAGAATGTGACCTTATTGAGTGTTTTGCCCAGGCAGCTAAGTAGGCTTTCACTTTACTTGCAAATTTAAATCAAACATTGCTAAGAGTACAGGCATTTCTGACATAACACAAAATATGTGTTCCTGAAAGACCGTATAGGCTGCAAAACCATGCACTAATGATAAAAGGACTTATGGGAAGCAAATGCATTAGAGTGAAACCAATCACCACTTATGAACACTAGCAAAAGCAAAACCATCCTAAAAAACACACCAGCTTGGAGGAAAAGACAGGTTGAATTCCAATGTATACAGCACTACAGTAATTATACGCTTGAATTAAGGGAAAAACGGTGAAAGTAGCTTGATGGGCAGGGACTATAAGAAAGTGCTGAGCCTACTGAGTTATGGAGACAAGGGAAAAATAAAGGAAAACTTCGTAATAAAAACTTCCAAGATAGGGCGCATGGTCAGATTGAGCTAAGAGGAGAACCTGGCGTGCGTGGGGATCTAGGCTGGCTGCGACCTGATACTGGCATCATTCATCTGTTTAGAGTTGTGTCTGAGCCAATTCATGCTACAGAAAGACACAGTATTGATCTGAAAATACATACAAACAAAATGGCCTTTTATAGGGTAAAAAGGAAGTACAGGGGCTGGCCCCGTGGCTGAGTGGTTAAGTTCGCGCGCTCCGCTGCAGGCGGCCCAGTGTTTCGTTAGTTCGAATCCTGGGAGCGGACATGGCACTGCTCATCAGACCACGCTGAGGCAGCGTCCCACATGCCACAACTAGAAGAACCCACAACGAAGAATACACAACTATGTACGGGGGGCTTTGGGGAGAAAAAGGAAAAAAAAAAAAAATTTAAAAAAAAAATCTAAAAAAAAAAAAAAAAAAAAAAAGGAAGTACATTTCTCCCTTAACTCGTTTCATGATAATTATTGTATTTTCAGTAAATTTATTTTTAAAGGACTAAGTCTCTGTAAGGATCTATTTTAGCAATATAACTATGGTGGGGATTATAGAAATAGCTACAGCCAGTAGTTTTATATATCTCAGGAAGAAAATATTGAAATGTTTATCCGATTTCCTCATGACCTGCATGACCTACCATAAGTGGTCATGATAAGTGGTAATGATACTTAATTTGAAGAGATAGTAACTGCGTGTTTTCAAATTTCAGTGATCATCACCCTGGGGAATTTTTAAAACATAGATATTTAGGATTTATAGTCCCAAAGCTTTTGCTCTTTAATAAGTTGTAAAACATTCTGTGAACATTTTGATGTAAGAACAGAGACTCCCCAAATGCTAACTATTAGAGTTAAAATTTCCCTACCACAGAGTGTACTAAACTTTGCTATTACTTCAAAGATGTCACAGAATTGCCCCCTAAGACCAATTTAAAAAAAGGTGTGGATCACGCTCACTTTATTTTTAATAAAGAATTAATGTAGTTTATTAAACATAATTTGCATCTGGTACTGTGGCTTTAGTGACGTGGTTACCATCGGGAGATGGGGGGATTCCTGGTATTTCGGGTCCCTAGAGGTGACATTGCCATCGCCTTTAGAATTGACCTGCTTGTTTCGGGAGGGTCACCAGTATGGGCTCTCTAGTTAGAAAAATTTAAGACATATACCCTCCACTCTTCCTAGAGATCTCTGGAGACACCTTCCCCTTGCTTGCAAGTGCAGTCTGTTGGGAAGGTGAATGCTCTGTTCTGTAATATAAGTTGGAATCAGCTTTCCCATGTCTGGGCTTTTGAAGAGTGAGAAATTGCTTTCCAGAAGGAGATTTTAACAGTAGAATTTCAGCCCTCCAAATCCTATAAAGTGTTGTGTAATATTGAAAACCCCAAATCGGGGCTTGATTATAATGAGTGACCAAAGTCATGGGAAATGTATTATGGTCTATTTTGATTGCTCTTCATGGACCCTAGAGTCTTTCCTTGGCTGTGATATTAAGAATTAAACTCAGAGACATGTGCCCTCCCTTTTCTTTAGCCCCTATGTCTAGTCAGTAGTCAAGGCCTGTAGATTCTATCTCTGAAATACTTCAGGAATTGATCCACCTTTTCATCTTCAGGGTCAACATTTTAGCCCAACCCAGATCAGCCTCCTGTTCAACTCTGACCCATTTCTCATTCTGCATTCAAGTAATCTTTTAAAATCTAATCTAATCTATTCACATTCTTACTTCTTAGTCATTCATTTGATTGCCCTTAGAATAAGAGTTCTAATTTGTTTAATGTGGTTTACAGAGCCCTCCAAAATCCTGACCTCTGCCTGTCTCATCACTCACCATCATCACCTTGCCCTCGCTGACCCCATCCTCTAGCCAGACTGGGATTATTTCAGTTCCTAGAACATGACTAGGTCTGTCTTGACCTCCACGTATGCTGTTCTCTCTGGAACTCTCTTCACCTGGCTCAGGGGCACAGCTCAGCTCAGCTGTCTCTTCCTTCTGGGTCTGGACCCCTGATTACTACTCCTGGAGCACTATGTGCTTCCCCCTTTTGTAGCACATGTCACACTTGGAACTGATGTGTCAGAAATAATTTTCCTGCTGGTTGTAAACCCCATGAGGGCAGGCAATGTCCTTTATTCATTGCTCTGCCCCTGCGTCTAGAAGAGTACCTGAGACATAGTAGGCCATTCATAAATATTTGTGGAATACAATGAAAAGTGAATAAATGAATGAATGAATGAAGTAGAAGGCAATCCAGTCTGTGGGAGTGGAGACTATAAAAAAAAAATGCAAATGGCATGGAAAATTCCAGTATGTTAAGAGCCAAAAGATTCTTGAGCTTTGAGTTTTAGGAGCTCGTTGTTGAATTTAGCAAGGAGGGTTTCAGTAACATAGTGGAAGCAAAAGCCAGAGAATGGCAGACTTAGGAAGAAGTATTGTTTAAGGAAGTGAACCCAGCGCATAAGGCCTGATCTTACAAGAAATATGACTCTAGGGGGAGCAGATCACGGTAAAGCTAGGGAGGATGATGGCAGGAAAGGGTCTACATTTGCTTGTCGTTTTTCTTAGCTTACTGCGGAAAGACTTGGGTGTTCTCCCCCATTTTTCTGCTTCTTTGTCCTGCTTTCCTAATATATCATAGGAGAAAGTGTGATAAATATTTCCTGCTTCAAAGTGAAAAGAAACACATTTTAAAAGACTGATTTATGGGATTTTATTTAATATTTTTTCAATTTTTGAGGAATGAAAACTTTATGAATTTTTGGTCTACCGAAAAATTAGGCTGTTTTCTTGACATTTGTTTATGAAATTGGTTGTTCTAATTTGTACTGGAGTGTGCAAACTTTATCCTTAACTAAGAAAGTTGTTTTGAAGTTCTCTCCTCCTTTCAGCTACTCTTAAAAATCTAGACTTTTAGGGGTTGGCCTGGTGGTGTAGTGGTTAAGTTCACATGCTCTGCTTTGGTGGCCCAGGGTTTGTGGATTCAGATCTGGGGCACGGACCCAAGCACCACTCTTCAATCCATGCTGTGGTGGTGTCCCACATACAAAATAGAGGAGAATTGGCACAGATGTTAGCTCAGGGATAATCTTCCTCACCAAAACAAAACAAAACAATTAGACTTTGGAATTTAATCTTAAAATACTTACTTCTCTTAAATCACAAATTTTGGCATGGCTAGGTCAGAGGTCTGATATTGGACATTAGATACAACTATTTGCTTTTACCATGGAGACTTAATTCCCAGGCTCCACCCCCCTCACCCTACCCCTGGTGATTTCTAATTTGAAATCTGCTCTTTAAGACCTGATGTTGTAAAAGAGGCTTTCTGTGTTAGAGAGTATGTATAGGGTATTTTCCTCAGGTCTTTTTACGTGTAGAAAGCAAGATTTTTGTACTTAATTCACTCCTAGAATTTAAATGTTGGGAGCCCCTCCTGTGAGCAATAATGCATCCTGGTTATTAATATGAAGCCAATAGCTGGGTCATTATTCTCACCATAGCAGAGTTAATCACTTACTAGTAAAAGGGACAGAGCATTCAGTATATTTGGAGGCTGTTTAATCATCAACTTTGGGGATGATTAACCTCTTTGAGTTTCTGTGACCATATATCCCACTGCTGGCCAAGGCCTTGTCACCAAGTTTATTACTTTAATTAATTTGTTTTTCCCTTACCATGTTACTACCATTTCTACAACCAGCTATGTACTGAATTCAGCAGCCGACCAACCCATTTCTGAAGTCACTGCTAATGTTACATACAAAAATCATCACTAGTTTAGTTAAAGAACATATTTTGTATTCCTGGCCAGCAAACACAAGACAGACATAGGTTTCCAAGGTATCAGCACTGTGTGCATCTGTTTCATAGTGTAATTTCATCAGTTGAACAGATGAAGAATGCTCATTAGCTTGTTTATACATATGCGATTTAATGAGACTGAACACTTAACTGATCTTCAAGTAAGCAAATCTTGTTTCCTGTTGCTGTTTTTACCTTAATAAAAAACAGTGTTAGACACATTTTCTGGAAATTAGTGCTGCGCAATACAGGAGAAGAAAGAATTTCAAGGAAGATTGACTGGTCAGTTGTGTCCTGCTGCAGTGGGATTAAATAGGAAGATTAGAATAAAATTATTGGGTTTGGGGACTAGAGTTGAAATCCAACGTTACTGAGAAGATTAAGCTTAATGGAAGACTTTATCATAAACTATATTATATCAAACTCCTAAGTCTAATGCTAAAATTCTAATATGCACCAGAATAATGAAGCAGTTCTATAACTTCATTAGATCCAACCTATAATCTTCTAATTTTTATTGCTTTTCTCTTTTTTTGAGTATCCTCAAAAAAAATTCTAATTATTCTTATTCTAATTTCTTCTTCTAATTGTTGTAGTTATATTTTGAGATAAGTGAAATCATGGCATTCAATTAATAGACCTCTTCTTCCTGAAATTCAATACAAAATAGTGGTATTATAATTTTTATAAATAAATAGTTATTTAATATTATCTATTACACTCTCTTGTATTGCTTCCAAGTTGTATAAAACAGGATCCAAGGAGGCTGCTATATTTTGGGAGTGGGATGGGTAGAGGAGATGAAGAAGTAACTGGCCCCATAGTCAAAATTATATTTGGATTAAAATGCTTTAGTTAACTTGTTCAGCTTTTTACAACCAGGGGTCAGCAAAGTAAGGCCTGTGGGCCAAATCCTCTGCGTGTTTTTGTAGATAAAGTTTTATTGGGACACATCCATGCCTATTCCTTTGTATATCAGCTATGGCTACTTTCATGCTGCAATGGCGGAGTTGAGTCATTGATAGAGACCTGAAGAATTCTACTCTCTGGCCCTTTACAGAAAAGTTTCATGACCACTGATCTAAACCATATATGAGGACAGGAGTTAGTAAATAGTAGCAGAGTTATGTTGAGATGTATTGAAGACTGAGAAACAGATATCTGTGGATTTGAGTCTTAAAAGAAACGTGATTGAGAGCCTTTGATTTTTAGATCTTTTGGAATGCAGGTAACCATTCTGCTTATCACCAAATTACCTTTGGGCCACTCAGTAGCGTGCTGAGCCAGACAGCTTCCTATTCTATTCTGGCAGAATATGTTTTCTGCTCATGAATATATAGGATCTTCCTTGCACCTTCTTGAAGATTCATAAATTACATTTAATCACAGATTTTGCATATGACATTAAGTAACAGAGAGTACTGGCAGCTTCTTCTTCTGATCTGTAAGCATCCATAATCTTCCCCCTTACCTGATATCCCATGACCCCTCAAGGCCTGTTGGATATTGAATTAGCTTCCTTATTTCTCCCAGTTCAGAAAACAAATTGTCCATTGTTCTGAACTTAGTAGATAACTTATTTGTGACAAATTACAAGCTGCCACTTATACATATTAAGAACATATTAAGAGCTTTGAGGCTCATAGAAAAGAAAAAAATAATTGAACTCCAGTTATAAATACTGAAATATAAGGCTTTATCATGGATGATTCACATACCACCAACCAATGAGCAGCAGAATTATGTTCTTGTTTGCTTTCTAATGATATACCTGTAAACCGTGTCTTTAAGCCTGATTCTTTAGAAACTAGTGTATCTTGGTGATACGAGTTTGAGTTAGTAGAAAACGCATTGGTTCTGGAGCCATATGGACCTACATTTGAACCTTAGATCTGTCACTGTCTAGCTGTTCAAATGAAAGAAAATGACCTAAACTTTTGAGCCTCTGGCCCACTGGGGATAATAATACCTGTGTCATGTGATTGCCAAGAGGATTAAACAGTTCCTGTGAGGCATAAATGTAAATACAGAGTGCCCAGCACTGTGCCAGGCCCATCGTAGGGGTAAGTAAATGGGAGTTCTCTTCCACTCTTTTTTTTTTTAAAGATTATATTTTTTTCCTTTTTCTCACCAAAGCCCCCTGGTACATAGTTGTATATTCTTCGTTGTGGGTCCTTCTAGTTGTGGCATGTGGGACGCTGCCTCAGCGTGGTTTGATAAGCAGTGCCGTGTCCACGCCCAGGATTCAAACCAACGAAACACTGGGCTGCCTGCAGCAGAGCACGTGAACTTAACCACTCGGCCACAGGGCCAGCCCCTCTTCCACTCTTTTTTATGTTTTGTGATTTTTCTAAGAATGGAAGTAGTTGGTGGCCACAGTTAATCAAGATTGTTAGCATTGTCAGTAAGCTGAACTCACAACCAGAAAGTTCCAGTGACAAATAACTAGCAGTAAACGGGTTGTGACATCAACAAAACCAGAAGTCCAAGAGAAAATTTGGTGAAATGGCCTTGTGTACAATTTCAGTGGGACTCTGGGAAGAGAGGCCTTCTTGGTTTACTCCACTGTTGTCTAAATTCAGATCCAGAGACCCCTGCGATCCATTGGCATGTTCTTAGGGATCAGGAGTTCTTTGCAAAAATTTTCTGTGTTTCTTACTTTTGTATTTTTATTTTTTTTGAAGATTGGCCTTGAGCTAACGTCTCTTGCCAACCTTCCTCTTCCCCCCTGCCCCAAAGCCCCCGTACATAGTTGTATATCCTAGTTATAGGTCATTCTACTTCTTCTGTGTGGGATGGCGCCACAGGGTGGCCTGATGAGCAGTGTGGAGGTCTGTGCCCAGGATCCGAACTGGTGAACCCTGGGCCACTGAAGCAGAGTCAGTGGACTTAACCACTCGGCCACGGGGCCGGCACCTTTGTTTTTTATTTTGATGATATTTTTAAATTATTTTACGTGTAGAGACAAGTGTCTTTTTTTGCAGTAATTGTTTCAATTAATTTTTTTTTCATCTAAAACTCAGTGTTTCAGATCTGAAAACATATACTTGGGCATCATTTACATATATATTTGTTTCTTTAGGTATGTTTGGGAGACATTGTTTATGCTGTTCTGATTTTTCAGAAGTGACAGCATAATGAGAATATAGTAGTACTAGCACTGATAAAACTTAGACTTAGATGTGGCTTCTCTCATAAAACCATGGCGTTCCACTCATGGAACAATGTGGAATCAAGCTAGACTAAATAGGTTATAAGAATGGAAATCAGTAGTTTGTGCTAAGGACATATTCCACTTGAAAAATATTAAAATATCAAAAGCAAGCATTTTACTAGTATACTAAAATGCACACATACTAAATAAAAATCTTTTCCAAATGTTCCATCCATTTTATAATTGACCTTTCCACCAGAATCTTTTTTTTACTTGAAAATGCAATATGACTGTATGGTCTTTGCTTTTTCACACCTGTCTTTGTCTGTTTTCCCAAGTCTACAGTCACTCCTCTTTCCGTTCTGACTTTCTACTGCCCATAGACACCTCAGTCACCAGTGTCCTTGATTTGCCAGCGGCTTCTATTTGAGTGTCCCACGTAGGAACAACAGCTCAGTAGGAAGAGATCCACAGCAAAGTGAGAAGCCATCCACACCATGTTCTGCACGAAGCTGAAGGATCTCAAGATCACAGGGGAGTGCCCTTTCTCCTTACTGGCACCAGGGCAGGCTCCTAAAGAGCCGGCAGAGGAGGTAGCAGGAAGCTCAGAGAGCTGCAAAGCAACCCTGCCCATCTGTCAGGACGTTGCTGAGAAGAATGTACAGGGAAATCTTCCTCAAAGAAAGACCAGTCGGAGCCGGGTCTATCTTCACACGTTGGCGGAGAGCATCTGCAAACTGATCTTCCCCGAGGTGAGTACTTGCCCTGTCAAGATTTTCCTAAGATTTTGAAACTGTAAAAGAATGTTTTCTAAGGAAAATGTAAACATGTGCTTTCTCACTTTCAAGGCTAGAATAGATGTAGAATATTTTCTGGAAATATATAAAAACATTCCTTTAAGGCAATCATGTTCTTAAATTGGGTTTATCTTAGAATGTTTAAGACCATGAATTCTTTTCAAAAGCATGCTGCACTCTGACAAGCTTTATAACTTAGAACAACTGCTCTGAGGGGTTGACGGCCTTAACCTCAGCTTCCTTATCCATAAAATGGAAACAATAACAGTACCGACCCCCCTAGAGTTTTAATGAGCAATCGCTGTAGTAATCTATAGCTTTTACCATCCCCTAAGTGCCCAGTAGTTGTTAGCTATTATTTTAAAACTAAACTCCTTGAAGAATAACTTATTTTCTGCTGTGTTTTTTTCTTCTAATTCCAAAGAGCATCATATATTCTCTGTCAATTTGTTGAGGTGGGAAAATCTCCCTTTTCTTGTTGTCTCTGAGTCTGAAGTCTCTGCTCAAGCCAGGGTTGACCTGCTCCCTGGGGTCAGTCATGGGCCTTTGATTGCTCATATCTATGTGTTATTAGCTCGGATACTTCTTGATATAGCTCTGAGAGCTGCGTAGCCCAAGGCCATTTTGAGATCTGGAGTACCTTTTGTTAATCCACCTATAGGAGAACTCTGCGGACAGGGCATGTACCTACTTAGATCAAATATCTTAGGAACAGAGAGGGCATGTAGGCAGCTCCTCTCCCCCTGCAGGGCTAGGGAGAACAGCCCCTGAAAGTCTTTATGAAGTCTTCCTGACTCAGTCGGGGTTCACAGTTTTATAGAAACTCGCTTACCCTATGAAATTAGACATTGATATAATCAGACTCCAGCTATCATAATCCATTCATGAATTTTAATTGACTCAATACCAGCCCTCAGCTTTGTGCAAAGCACCCAAGAACCACAGACTTGCTGACTCTTAGAACTGAAAGGAACTTCAGAAGTAATTTTGTTTAACTCCCAAGAAGGACTAGAGAAATTAAGTGACGACCAAAGTCACGCAGGCTTCAAAGGGCAGAGCGATTACTGCTGTCAACAATATGGGCTACAGTGACTAAGAAAGAAGAGACATGAATTGAAGCTTGAAGGATGGATAAATTAGAATTAGCAGAAAGTTGAAGGAACTTATTTCAAATATACTATCAGCACAATAGTACTTTGGTTAATGGCCTTTGAAATGGAAATGTTTAATTATCCTCTCCCTACTCTAGTCACTAGACAGCCAGTTTGGCTGGGATAAGGGATGTAGCCTTTCTCAGGGAGATGGTTGACTTCACAGTCTGGGAAGTGGTTGGGACTCTCTTCCAAGGACAGAGTGAGTTGCACAGAGATGAACAGATGGTGATGATGGAGAAGCTGGAAATCATCCATGCTTTCCATGAGTCTTGTCATTACCACGTTGGCTTCATTATTTTGTTTGATAAATTTTGAATTCCTACAATAAGAGTCACACACTTGTTGGAATTCTTTTTAAAAACATTCTGAATATCAAATATAAATGATATTTTGCTTTTTTCTCTTTTTTTATTTAGAATAATCTGTGTTGTTTGTGAACTCATAGGAATAAGCATCAGTATTTGACTGGAGTGTCATGTAGCAGAGAAGGCAAGGTTATAAGAATTCTAGGAAGCAGAAGGGGTACATTTGGCATAAATGACTAGAACTCCTCTCCAACAGCTGAGGCCATTTGCCTGATAACAGTAAATGCCCCACTGTTGGATACATTTGGACTGTATAATAATCATCTAGAGTACTTCATCAACTGTCCAAACATCTACATATTTTTGATTAAATCACACATTATTTACCAATTCTTTTCTAAGTGGACAGATTTCATTCTTAGCCTGCTGTTGAGTTTCAGGTCTATCAGTAATCCAAAATACCATTTGACAACATCATAGTTCTTATTTTAGATAATCAGATTTCACTCCCCAATTATGTTTGTGGGGGGGGGGCACAAGTATTAAAATTCATTATCCTTAGCAAAATTAGAGTAGGAGATGTCATTCCAAAGTAGTGGCATAATTGGGCTTAAAAAGGCCTTATTGATCATCTAATGCAAACTTTTCATCTTTGTTTGAAGAAATCGAGGTACATAAAATTAGACCACTTGCTTTAAGTAAAAGAGAGAACTGGGGAGATAGAAAGGTCTCTCATCTCTTTCATAATCCGTTGCTCTTTCTATTATAATATTGTTTGCTTATGTTTCGTCAATATTGCTCCCCAATAATCCCGTAAGCTCCTCAGCCATAGTGTCTTTAGGAACTTGCGATGTAGTGTTAGCCCCAGTTGTAACACATCAGAACCCAGTTGCTGAATTGAATCAATTGAATCAAATATGTTTATATAAATGATATTGCTCCAGATCAAAGACCTTATGAGACTAAGAGGATCAGAGGAGAATCAGGAAGTGTCTAAATGTGTTCTAAAATATTAGGCTGCAAGAAGAATAAAAGATACAGTATTATAATTTATCCTTATGAATTGAAATATCCTTGGCCTAGAAAAACATTAAAAAACTGTAGAAAAGTTAAAGAAATAGCAATTTATCCATAAACCACACCGATGAAATTCCATTCAGAAGGCTCACAGTAATATTGCATCAAATAGAAGTTATTCCTAAAGTCTCACTATATGCTGTCTTTGTGAGAAAACTACTTGTTTTAACAATGAATTTCTATCTGTCCTTTAACAAGTCAGAAGATAATTGTGAAGTAAAGAGAAACAAACTAGAGAGCAACACTTTATTCCCTTTTGTGGACAAGTGACCCCTCTGTGAATCAGAAATTCCATGCTCCACAACACTTCTGAGTCCAAAGATTGTGAATATAAGCAGAGTCCATTCCTCCAAAATTCACAAGGGAGACTTTCCCAAATACAAGGGAGTTTGAACACTGGGTGACTAAAAATCTATAGACGACTACTACGCAAGATATGTCGAATTGTAGGGAATTAATTTTGAAAGAAATATTGGATTTAGTCCTAAAGTACCATACTAAGCTAAAAATCGATATATAGAATTGTTGAGATATGGATTATCTGACTCTTCTAGAGCAGCTCTGCAGTGGTTGATTTAATGTCATGAGGCCCCGAGATTGGCTGTGTATGACAAGTCTCACTTAAAGTTGAGTCCTGCCTATGGCTTTATTGTGGACTTGCGTCTTTCCAGGGTCTAGGCTCCGGATATATTATAGAAGCTGCAGTGCCAAGGTAGGAAACTCTATGTACCAGCAGCCTTTCCAATTAATGTTTTGCCTGGAAAGCTTGTGGGTTCTGTTTTGAACTTAGAACCGTTTTCCAGAGGAGGAATAGTATATGATGAAAGAAGATACTCACAAAAGTCTGTTAACCCATAATATCACTAAAGCCTGCTGTTAAAGCTTTGCTAGGACTTCAGCACATTTTTTTTTAGGAAAACAAGTTCTGATTCAAAATGGAAAGTCAGGAATACATCTACTCCACCAACCCCAGCAATGGGAAGAGGGACCATTTTTCTTCCCCTCTTACAGTTACAGCATATATGTTAGGAGGAAAGGACTAGACAAAGATGCTCCTGGTGACAATGGAAAGGAAATGAAAGACCAGGAAAGATCTTGACTGAAAAGGGTAAAAGAGTGTACCTGGTGGCTTAATCAGAAAGGTAAGGAGGAAGAAAATGATGTTTCTACTAGTGTTTGGGAGAAGGAAGGAAAAATTCTTCAGTGGCAAAATTGGATGGATTTTCTTTCTTCATTGCCTATTACAAGTTCCTGGTCAGAACAGTAGTTCATATATAAACAAATTCAAGTTATTTTAAATCGGCAACAATCAAAATTTATTTGTAAGCAAGCTAAAAGAATTACACCTCTGTACCTGGCTATATCGCTTCACTGATAAAATTTTCTTTATTAAGCCTTCAAGACTGAATAGCTGACAGAGTGAGTGTTGTTCATTCAGTCATTCATTCATTCCATCAATATGTAGTGAACATCTCCTATGGCCACGTCTCCTCTTCTAGGTGCTGGACATACAGTGGTGAACAAAACAGGTATTTCCTGCCCCTTTGGAGCCTCTGTTCTCGTGGAGGAGACAGATAACAAGAAAAAAAATGTCAGGTAGCAAATGCATGAAGGAAAACTGAAGCTCATATACAAAGGCAGAGACTCTCATTTTATTGATGACCCTTTTCCCACATGAATGTGTTGTACAGAAGAAAGAGCTCACAGCAACCTGTGATTTCATAGGTTTTAATACACACTAGTATTCTGGTGTTAGTAATGCCAGAGGAACTTTCTACCGAGTAAAAGGTCCTTGAGAAATTGAAGCTTTTCAAGCCCCTTGGCTGATCTACCTTGTTTACAGTCTCCAAATTAATGTTACCTTCCTCTTTCCTTGATATAAAAGACTGCTAAGAAACGTGCCCATATTGTCTTTCCTGAGCACGTTCCTCACCTGCCGGGCTTCCTGCCCTTTGCCGCCATGTAGGTCACCAGGACCTTGCTCAGAATCTGCCCACTGTGTAAGCCCCCTGTCAATCTTTCTTTCATCATGAGGCAGATGTACCCCCACCTCATTATCTGAACAGTCAGACAAATTGTTCTACGTTATAGATTACGTTTTCTTGTCTTTCTTTTCAGCATTTGTGTTTTCTTTCAATAAATCTAAAATTTCTTTTCTGAGCTCTATATGCACTTTGAAAGTGAAAGTCCTTTTCATAACTCATTTCATTAAAACAGAAGCTTGCTCTGTTTTGCTTAACGCTGCTACCTCACTTGACCAGTGGAAATTCTAAGAGAGATATAAATAGTTCTTAAGGAAAAAGGAATTTCCCAACTTGAAACATAGCCAAAACCTTCTTCACTTTCTTCTGGGTAAACTACAGAAAGAGTCAACGGTTACACATACACATATAGATACAGACGGTTTTTATATGGAACGCAAAAAATTGGCAACACTGTTATCAGTGCTCTACCCGCTTATCAACTAGTTGGAGACAATGAGCTGTTAAGAGAGATTAATAGGCAACAAATATTTATGAAGTTTTGAGACTTACATGCAGATATCTTGCAGTATAGGAAAACTCATGAAAAAAATACTCAGAAATCAACAAAAGAGTAAGACAGTAAGTATTTGGTGAAGATTATTAGTTCAAAGAAAGGAAATTAGTACAAGTTAGGGTATTTCCAAGATTTGTTTCAAATCAACAATGAACTGACCTTAGTGAGAGATTAGATTTAAGGGCAAAAAGAAAGGGTTAAGACAGAGATAGCTGCAGAGTTTTCTAGACCAGGAGATAGAAAGGATGTACGAAACATAAATATGCGTTTGTAGTTAGGGGCAGAGATTCACTGGGGTGGCTGGGTGTAGAGTTTGTGAAAGCAACAGGAATTTGCTTGGCTTGAGCCATGCTGAGAGTGAAATAGTGGCAGCACATCCAACGGGATTTCCTGACCCCGAGGATGTGATGTCCAGGATTCCTTCATGGAAGACCTGACATTACCAAACTGGAGTCTTCTATTTGGATTCCAACTCAGCTCGACTTTGCTTTGTGGCTGTTAGTGAGACCACCCACCAAGCAAAGCCAGTGGGCCACAACCCACATCCAAACTCAAATTAGCCTGAGCTCCTTGTTTCTTCCCAAGCTTGGAAAACCCATAGAAAATCAGTCCCAGTTTCCAAAGCGTCAGTTCACTATACTTACCGTTAAAGTAATAATGTTTCTGCTTCTTCAGAAGAAACTTTCAGGACAAATTTTTAAAATATATCTCTTCAAGTAAATTATTATTTAAGGGAATGTCTAAAAGTTTTCTTTTCAATTTTCAGTTTGAGCGGCTGAACCTTGCGCTTCAGAGAACATTGGCAAAACACAAAATAAAAGAAAGCAGGTAAATTGAACCTCTTTAGCTGTGTGAACTGCCTATTATAATTGCTGGTACTGTCACTAATAACCCACACCTATTGAATTTATCCACATTTTTTCAATCATGATGGTCTGCTAGAAACTAGACTAAGTGTTTTCTCTGCTCCTAATCTGAAAGTAAGTGCATTTCTTTTTCACATTTTATGTCAATGAGCTCAGGTTTATATCAAATGTTTAGGATTTTACAGCTGTTTAGGAAAAAGCCGAACTGAATTTCAAGCCTGGCTTTTTCAGAGAGCATGATTTTAACCATGTGGCAATATACTGCAGCTTTTAACCAGCTCCCATAAGGCCTTTTCTAGAAAGAAACTGGTAGAAACTAAGGTGTAATTTCGAAAATATTTAACATCAGCTAAGGCATGGATTCCAAACAATCAGAATAGACTCCTTGCCTGAAGAATACTGCCAGAAGCTTCAAGCAGGGCCTCACCAACCCCATCCCCACCTCGCACACATTAATCTTTTAGCTGCTGCCTCAATTGGAGGTGGAAGGATCAAAGGTATAAGAGGGGGGTGTCCCAGGGGGCTTAGGGCAGCAGCTCTTTATTAGTCCTTTGAAAAGTGATTCTGTATTTTCCTAACCAGTTTGGTTATAGGAGTGTGCACTGGCTGAATATCAGTTCTGTTTATACTCTTCTTGTATTCTGTCTTTGAAATTTTCTTTAAGAAAGTTTGCCCTAGAGGCTTAATTTATAAGGTGGTTTTTTTAAAAATCTGATTTATATAGTTAATTTTTCAAATATATCTTGGCACATTTACTGCTGGTAGATCACTTGGTTGGCCTTGTTTTTGATTCCCTGAAGCCTCAAGGATTATTTCAGTTGTAAATAATAGAATGAATACTTGAGTTCAAATTTGCAGAATTGAACACTGAAGTTTTGCGAACTGATACCATTTTCGGGAATATTTTATAAATTCATTCATCTGTCTACTACTCATGAGTGGATAATCTGTTCTGTGGATTATCTGTGCTTAATTTTCCTTGCTTGAGTAACTGGCCCCAGACTGCACGCAGCAGGCAAGCCAAGATGGGGTCACAGACGGATCCAGAAGGAGACAGCGTGAATCTATGTGTCTGAGGGAAGCTTTGTTTACATGAGTGATAGGAAAAGCATTCCAGAATGCCTCTGACCTTAATTCTCAGTCAAGCTGATAAGATAGCCACAAGTCATTGTAGCTGTGCTACTGTGTCTGTCTGCTTAAGTTGTTGGCAGCCAGTTTACTGAAAATTTATTCTCAGGGCCTTGTGTTCTGAAATGTTCCTAAGCTAGATGCAGATACTCAGTTAGGATGTGTTCCCGGTAGTGTTTCTCTTTTAAAAAAATCTCAAAACTTAAAAAAAAATCACTTTATTTGGAAATCTTAAAAAATCTTTGACTACTTCCTGATTTCTTAAAGAGCTGATTATACTTTTAAATTGCCCAAGTTGTAATTATTCAGTTGTTGAAGGAAGATCAGGGACCTTTTTTCACATAAGACTGCCTGCTGATGTGCTAAATGGCTTCTCTCTGCTTTGCTTTTTTGGTTCTTGGGTATATTCTTGGTCTCTCTGTTTTCTCCCCCATCTTCTTTTTGGCAAGTCAGCTGCCTCTTCTGCTGTTCTGTTTGCCAACTGTTGAAAACACCTTAACTCCTTTTTGTGGCCTGCTTATTATCTTCTGTAACTTGAAAAGCAAAAAATCAATATATTCAACAATAAACTGTCCCTAACTGAAGGACTGGACCCCGCCCTCCCCCTTCCTCTTTTTAGGGAAATGAGTTTTAGTACAGTCATTATGATATCTCTCTGGGTTGGTTGCACAGAGAGCTTCTGCCCTGTTTCTTTTTCTAGGACCTTTTCATCACATCATTGCACGTATGAACTCATGGCTGGGGTGTGTGTGGGTGTGTATGTTACACAATACACACACACACACTTCCTGGTGCATTTGTAAGCTTACACTTCCTTTTTTTTGGAGGTAAAAATAGGGAACTTATTTTGAATTGTACTACGTACTGTTGGGACTAGCTAAGCTTTGCTCACATCTCATTTCACGGCGCTGGGAATGGGCAGTATTAAGAGTTCTCTGAGCAGATTTGCTTTCATTCTTTAGATAAAAAATAGAAGCTGGTTAAATGAGAAAAAGAAGCAAATCTAAAGACTGATTAATATAAAATAATGTATAACAAGGGGTTTGGGGATCTCCACATTCAAACTAGATATAATACTGTATAGTGACCCTTAACCAGTTTAGATAAGAAAATATTTCTACTAGTATTTTAAATAATTATGAGAAATATACCTTTGTGTGACAAAGTAGTGGACTGAGCAATTTTCCTTTTCAAAAATATTTCCTTTTGAAACCTCTATACATGTATCATGCTTTATTGAAATCTGTTTAAAATTTTAGATTTATGCCTGTTTGTAAACTTGGCTTGCCTAATAGCAAACTGAACCACCAATAGAACTTGAGTGTCTTTTAATATGCTTTAGTAGTTTGGCAGATTTGGTCATAATCAGTCATCAGTATCAGAAATCATCAAAAAACAATTAGGCAAACATGAATCAGCAAGTAGCCCTGTTGAAGTTAGCAAAACCTGTCAATCGAAATGTATGCTATTATATTATCAACTTCTATGCTGTAGAATCCAGTGCAATAATTGAATAAAATTTAGTTACTAATTTTTATACAAGATCAAGAATGAAAGTTTAATGTAATGATATCTGAGACTTAAATATATAGAATGTAAAACTCAAAAGCAGGATATACTATGTATTTGCTTTAGGAAAAAAAATAGTGATACTTAAAACTGAAATCCATCAGTATGTAGATTTTTCTTCTTGGCTGGGTTATCAGAAAAACCCTGGTCTGATTTGTTGCTATCTCCTTCTGGGCCATTTCATATTCCTGGTTTCCTACCAGTGCAAACTTCTATAGTCTTAACCTATGTAAAGTTAACATAAAAGGTAAATGTACTTCATAAAAACTGATGAAACACTCAATATCAGGTATCTTTTGGCGTTTTGCAACATTGTTTTGGGTTGTACATGTCATTGCTCCTTTCCTGTAAATTTGATAGTCAAGATTTGCCTCTACAGAAAGGGTAATTTAAATTATTTTCTGTCATCATTTCTGTATGTTATAATCTGAAGTTTTAGCATTCATTTGTCAGTTTATAATTTAAGGTATTGAAATAATTTCAGGAAATCTTTGGAAAGAGAAGACTTTGAAAAAATAATTGCAGACCAAGCAGTTGCAGCAGGTAATAGAATTAAGTATATGCAATTAGAAGATCATTATACTTGTAGAATTAATATTTTACCTGTAAATTAATATTTTCTATTAGTGGAAAATATTTGCCTGTAGAGCTAATATTTTCTTCAAAAATATTCATATTTATTTGTTGGTTTCTTCCAGTGTGAAGTGTTCAATATTATGTATTGTATTAACATAAACAATAAATCTTTTTCAAACTATATATTTTTGTTTGACCTAAAACATTTCCTTTTCTTATAATGTTTATTGGCTGAGATGTAGACAAAGCTGCATGGGAGGCTGACTCATTGACATTTACATGCTTTGGCTTTGAGCTTAGAACTAAGTGTTCTTCGTTTATGCATGAAAAATTCAACTCAACAAATTAAAATGAAGAATTTTTTTTTAAGTTGGAAACAATTGTGGGAAAAAGGTTAACCAAATTCTCATATTTTAATAATTAGTTTGGGGGAAACAAGTAGATGAGTAACTTTGTCATACTTTTTTTTCAAAGTTTGAGTATAGGGGCCCACAGATTAAATATCTCTGAAAGTACGAGATATTAAGAATTTAATAATAATAATAATGATGATGGCTAACTTATATTGGGTCCTTCCTAGGAGCTAGACACTATTCTAAACATAATTTCCACACATCACAACAGTGCTATGAAGAGAGCATTGTTGTGTTTCCTAAGTTACAGATGAGAAAAACATGGTACACAGAGTTTAAAAAATAAAGGTTAGGGAAGAAGAAGTTGTAGAAAGTAAATAATATATTCCAAACACATAGTCATTCAGTTAACATTAAACAACAAGAACGCTATTTTACTCAGAAAAAAATTACTTTATATCATCTCTAAAGAAAAATGACAAAATTGAGTTTCACAATCGGTGATTTCAAATTAATTCCTGTACCTGATGCGTCTACTCCTGGAGGCTCTCTAAGGGGGACAGTCACCCTTCATCAAGACGTACTATTTTTGTTAACAAGGTGGGAGAGCTTTTTCTGAAATGTACTTGATCCTGTAATTTCAATTTTTCTTTATTGTTAAGTTTAAGGGAGATAAAAAGTTGTGGATTATACTCAATCAATCATTCTTTTTTAATTAACTGATTTAGGATCTTCATTCAGTTATGAGAATTTTAGAAACTAATCTATATAGATTAGTTTTGATTGGAACTCTTACTACCAGATATAAAGGGAACTAAACCATCAAATACAATAATGTTAAAAATAGTGGTAACAGCACAGCTCCACAAAGATTGACGTATTTGATATGGTAGAAAATGTATTCTATGCTTTCAGGAGTTCCAGTGGAAATCGTCAAAGAATCTCTTGGTGAAGAGCTTTTTAAAATATGCTATGAGGAAGATGAACATATCTTGGGTGTGGTTGGAGGAACCCTCAAAGATTTTTTAAATAGCTTCAGCACCCTTCTGAAACAGAGCAGCCACTGCCAAGAAGCAGAAAAGAGAGGCAGGCTGGAAGACGCCTCCATTCTATGCCTGGATAAAGATCACGACTTCTTAAATGTTTACTATTTCTTCCCTAAGAGAACCACGTCCCTGATTCTTCCTGGCATCATTAAGGCAGCTGCTCACACATTGTACGAAACCGAAGTGGAAGTGTCTGTGAGGCCTCCCTGCTTCCGTAACGATTGCAGCGAGTTTGTTAACCAGCCTTATTTGTTATACTCCGTTCACATCAAAAGCACCAGACCATCCCTGTCCCCCGGCAAACCCCAGTCCTCGCTGGTCATCCCCGCTTCTCTCTTCTGTAAGACATTTCCGTTCCATTTCATGTTTGACAGAGAGATGACGGTTCTGCAATTTGGCAATGGCATCAGGAGGCTGATGAACAGGAGGGACTTTCAAGGGAAGCCGAATTTTGAAGAGTACTTTGAAATTCTGACTCCAAAAATCAAGCAAACGTTTAGCGGAATCATGACTATGTTGAATATGCAGTTCATTGTTCGAGTGAGGAGATGGGATAACTCTGTGAAGAAATCTTCAAAGGTAAGAAAACATCGTCATATTTTCAGTATGAAATAAATTGTTTCGTATTTAAGGACTAGAAACAAAAAAGGTAGAAATATATGCATCACTCCAAATGTGTTGATAAAATATTTATGTTTAAAACAATTCAAAAACACTTTTAAGGCTGGAATAAATTTAAAACAAAATCCTTTCTGCATTCATTTGCGTGCTTACTTGACCCACTACTTCTCAGATATTTATTGAGTGCAGTCTACCTTTGAAAATCATTACAGAATATTTTATAACTGAATTAGATAAATGTTTATAAACAATTGGTTTCAATCATCATCAAATAGCTGACTTAATTTGGAATAATGAGGTATTGTTCTACAATAAATAAAAAGTACTTGTTTCTTATAGGAGGCAACTAAATGGACTTTTTAATCAATATCTTATGGTGGGAAATTTTGGCAATTATTTAGTCTTAGGAAAGAAAGTTTGCTACATCATGGTTGATAGTACAAGCAAAGCTAATAGAAAGGCCTACTTTTAGACAGGCATACCCCCAGGAGATGCTCAATTTGTTCCCCCAAATGAAAACAGCTTCATTGCTTTTTATGATAAAAATAATATAGCTAAATATTTAAAAAATAGGTAATATTTAAAGATGTTCATTGCAGCAAAAAATCAAAAACATTAGTTATGTACATTTTTGTTTAAAACAAAAAAATGCTATTTACAACTTTTCTTTTTATCATTAAACAATATATTTTGCGCATCCTGCCATGTCATTAGATATAGGTCTATTTCGCTTTTTTGAAGGCTGTGTAGTATCCTATTGTATGATTGTTCTTTACTTTCTTCAACTGGCCCCATGTTGAAGGACATTTGGGTTGCTTTGACTCTGCTGCAGGGAACACACATAGACATATTTGTCCACCCTCATACAAGGAGATCTTGTGATCCAGGATGATCACTTGAAACCCCACGTCTCTCCAGGCTCCCTTGGTACAATCCTTTCTGCTCACTGCTACTATCAAAAGATTATAGTAACAAAAGCATGAGCATGCCACTTAGTGAGAAAGCCTTGAAGCAAGAATTTTTTGCATTGTTCATTGAAAAGCATGGTTTCTGTGGAGAGTATCCTCAAAGACATTTTTCAAAAGTCTGCATGCAATTTAGAACTCATAGGAAATTGAAACTCTGAGAAAGCATATTGTTCTTTTCCAGCAGGTAGAGAACATAGAGTTTAAATACAAAAGGATCGTCACTGTATCTACTTCCTCTCCTTTCATCTCGAAAACGTGTTGGAAACTTGAATAAACCAAAATTGGTTTGGTTTGCTTTGCTTCACAGGTTATGGACCTCAAAGGCCAAATGATCTACATTGTTGAATCTAGTGCCATCTTGTTCTTGGGGTCACCCTGTGTGGACCGATTAGAAGATTTTACAGGACGAGGGCTCTACCTCTCAGACATCCCAATTCACAATGCACTGAGGGATGTGGTCCTCATAGGCGAACAAGCCAGAGCTCAAGATGGCCTAAAAAAGAGGCTGGGCAAGCTGAAGGCCACCCTGGAGCAAGCCCACCAAGCCCTGGAGGAAGAGAAGAAGAAGACAGTCGATCTTCTGTGCTCCATATTTCCCTGCGAGGTGGCGCAGCAGCTGTGGCAAGGGCAAGTTGTACAAGCCAAGAAGTTCAGTAACGTCACCATGCTTTTCTCGGACATTGTTGGGTTCACTGCCATCTGTTCCCAGTGCTCACCACTGCAGGTCATCACCATGCTCAATGCACTCTACACTCGCTTTGACCGGCAGTGTGGAGAGCTGGATGTCTACAAGGTAGGGGTGGAACAGGGCAATGCCCATTTTAGAGGGAAAAGTCACTGAGAAAAAGCACTGCAACTAGAACCTGAGTTGTGATATCAATGAAAGGCTTTCTCTGCAGGGCCATGCAAGCCACATCCTGGGAGCAGGCACTGTGCATTAATCCTGTGGGTGTTCTCTGGCCAGAAGTAGCTCTGAATCTGCTCAGAAATGGAGATAATTATTCCATGAAAGGACTGCTTATTCAAAGAATAAGCACAGAATGGAAGGGTGATAGATTGAGTGGAGGCTGGGATATAGGACTCATGAAAAGGTAATGTTTAAACGTCAAGAAACTTGACACTTGACTGGGAAACAGACTTGTTATTAAGCATGAAATAATTTAAAGTATGACTTGTACAGGGAAAATTTATCCTTTGTTTTGGTAAAAGTAAAGAAACATGTATTATACAAATTGTCTTTAAATAGATTAATTCAGTACAGAGTTAACATGATACTTTTCATGGCTGGTTCACAGATATCCAAATCACCAACTTAAGGCAATATTGTAGAGGGGCCGGGGGCAGAGACACTCGAATAAGAGGCCCATCTTCACATCTTGTTCTCTACCTTACTTGCTTGTAAGCTGAGAAACTTAAATAACCTTCCTCATTTCTAAAACAGAGAAAATAATATCCACCCACAGAGTTTCTATGTGTAAATAACATAAATTATGTCCCTTAATCCTCATAGACAGGACTGTGATAAAGATTATGGTAAGTAATATCTGTTGTTCATCAGGCAGCAGGATTTATGTATTGAGTACGATGTACTAGGCATCATTCTAGGCACTGGGCATGCATAGTGATTGCCACTGACACGTAATAAACTGACACGTAATAAACTGTTTTTTAAAGTAATTATTATCAATAAGAGATCTATTGAAGAGATTTTGTGTTCTGTTTGTTTCTGTAGAATTAAAGCATTTTTTTTTTTACTGATTTAAAGTATTTTGCATTGTTTTAGCTATTGGCAGTAAGAATAAAGCATGCTTCTCATTGGTGTGGCTTGAATCATCTTGTGACTTGCCACATAACAATTTGGCATTTCCGAGCTTAACCCAACCTGAAATAAGTAAATTATTGAGGAGGAAACAAATATTATTTATGGGAATACATAAGCCCCTGCTTTGTTCCAATCTAGATGCTAGAAGCAAAACTTTCCTTTTACAAGTTTCTAACAGGAAATTCCAGACAGAGCTATGATCCCCTTGGGAAAAAAAAAGAGGTCCATGTATAATTACAGATAAAATAATTGGCTTCAGTTAGGTTAAGCTTGATGGCCTCTTGTGGAATTTACTATATTTATGTGTAGATAGTTTCTATCTTGAGAATGGCTCCTCTCTCAGAATTGTGAGAAAGAAGTCTTGCCCTCCTTTGCAAACTGCTGTGATGATTAGCAGAAGTTGCCCTCTTCTACAACTTGAAACTTTTAAGAATTTGGTTATTCCTATCAAGTATCAGATTCTATGCTCCTTACTACAAGGATGGTAGCCACAGAGTTCCCTGAATAATCCAACCACAGCTCAAACTAAACAATGAATCACTTTCTCTACCAGTCCCTATATCCCCCTTCTCTTCATCTCTGATTTTGCATCGAAATACCAGGAGACAGCTGTAAATAAATAGGGAAGGGCCTTAACCATGGAATGAATGTGAGATATACAGAATATGTGATCATAGACTGGCCGGTGAATGCAATGGTTTTCAGGGAATAGCAAAGCTTATTTATTCCAGGACTTAATTGTACTAGGACTTTAGCTTTCTTGTTTGTCTTTCAATCTTTTGGTCATTTTTCTATTTATTTCAGTATTTGTTTATCCACTGTTTCAGCAAGTATTCACTGGTCATCCAGCATTTGTCAGCATGGGTGGGCACAATCCCTGTGAGCAGAGTTTACACGTGGGGATGAGAGGGTGGCACTGACGAATGCCAGATTTCCACATGACAAGATGAATGCCCAGTTCCGTTCACATCCGTACAGGGTGCTACAAGGGCACAGGGAATGGACACCTAACACCGAGTAGGGGTGAGGGTACCACTTCTCCCCATTAGTAACATTTATCGCACACCTGTGATATATTAGCCATTATGTTAAACACTTTTTATGTATTTGTTGCTGAGGAAAAGCTTATGGGAGGCCTTGCTGTCTAGTTAATTTATTAGCAAATACACTGGGCGCTGGTGATACGGGAATTAATAGAATGGTAGACAAACTCAGAGAACTTACGTTCTACTGGAGGAAAGACAGACAGTTAAACAAAGGAGTAAATTTATAGTATTCTGGTTGGTGTAGTATTCTGGTTGAGGTTCAGGGAGAGAAGTGCAGGGGGTAGGGGGTGATGGCTGTTTCAGAGAGAGTGGTCGGGATAGCACTTTCTCATAAGGTGAAGTTTGAGCAGGGACTGAAGGAAATAAGGGGCAAGCCAGCTGGTTATCTGCAGGAAGAGTGTTCCAGGCAAAGGAATAGCACGTGGGGACAAGTTTGGTATGTTTGAGGGATAACAGGAGGCCAATGGCTTTGGGACAAAGCAGGCAAGGGGGAGACTTAGGAAATAAAGCCAGGAATTAGCAGAAAGGTCAAGAAGAGCTTTGGAGACATTATAAGGGCGTTTATTCTGAGCGAAAGGGAGAATCACTGAAGGTTTGTCTCTCTCTTTTCCTTTCTCACCTCCATCCCTCCATTTTGGCGGCTTTGGATAAGAAGAATGTTATGATCTGATAAGTTATAATAAATATTTGGAAGAGAAGAAAAATGCAACTATTACAATTTGGTGAATTATTGTGGCTTTAAATTGACTGCTAGCTTTCTGTGGTCATTATCACAGACAGATAAAAATCACCTGTAACAACAACAATAATGACAATGATAATAATAATACTTGGAATTTATATAATAGCTTGATTTCCAGTAGCCTTCCAAGCACCATTGTTTCTCTCTCCTGGTTTGACATCTGGGTTTCTATACTTTGTGATTAATATTCATGTTGCTATGAGAACCCCGAAAATCTTTTTGAAAACGTTTCATGTCTTAGTTTTACGTTGTGCATTCTTACTAAATTCGTATCACTTTGATTGAGTAGTGACTGCATTCAAAGCAGTGTATCTTATGCTGAAAGGATGTGAAATCAGTAAGTGATCCTAACATCTTTAAGCAATTTATTGTAAAACCAAAATGCATCATTTGCTTCTACAAAGCCATTTTCCATAGTTAAAAAAAAAAGGTGGAATGATCTGATGAGTTGGTGGCAAGCCTGGGAGTAGAAGCCACCTCCTGACACTGTGTTCACAGCCCTGTGCTGCCTCTCAGTGCAGTGCCCTGATCTAAGGTATCTAAACCTTGTGATTTCCTGAAAGGGAAGCCATTTCTGAAAGTATCTGATTTACTCTGATTTTCCATAGGGCACGAACACTGAGATTTCTGCTATATGATATATGCCACGATTCTTCCTGAGTTTTTATTTGTAACATGGAAAATCTGCTATGTGTAGGTGGAGACCATTGGTGATGCATATTGTGTGGCGGGGGGATTACACAGAGAAAGTGATACCCATGCTGTTCAGATAGCGCTGATGGCCCTGAAGATGATGGAGCTCTCTGATGAAGTCATGTCTCCCCATGGAGAACCCATCAAGGTAAGGCAGATCATATAGTCCAGGAGATGTCATGAGAGCAAATGCTTATTAATTAGTTCTCAAAAGAATGGTGTATTAGTTGGAGTTTAGTTGCAGAGAACAAAATGTCTAACTTGTTTAAGCAGGAAGAAATTTACTATAGGGTATTAAATGGCTTACAGAATCATTAAGAGGACTAAAGATGCCATCTGTAAGTTGATCTTTCAAACAATGGCTCCCAGAGCCACACTTCAGAACCACTGTTTTCTCTCGGATCAGAAAGCTGGCTCCTAAACTATACCACTGTAATCACACTCAAGAAATTGCTGTGTTCAAAAAGTTGCTGCCTCTACTACTGGCTACAGAACAAAACTGCAGCTACTATAATTTGAAGCAGCAATATGGAAGTCCTGCATCATGACCCTCACAAAATGAGGGACTGGAAACTGGGCTCTCCGCTAAGCGTGCCATGAAACACCCAAAGGCTTCCACCGTTGTGCTCACACTTGGAAGCGATAGAAATGCAGTCACAGCAGAAATCCTGGCTTCCAAATCTCATGCAAGGGTAGGGTATCTGATTCACCAAACTTAAATCCATCTAGAAACTGCCAGGGAATTTGGAAAATGTAATTTTTAACCTTCCAGTCCCTTCAGGGGAGAACTTTACACTAGCATGAATGTTGACTGCTAAGCCACCAACATTTTCCAGGACATATAACATTCCAACATTTCTAGATGAGCCAGACCCCATAATAATGTATTATTGCAGATGAGAAAATAAAATCAACATGCTCAGCGTTGGTTTAATAGATAGAATATGAGCAAATTATCTTCATTTGTCCCACTTAATTTTTATACAACAGTCTTCAACTGATAACTTTCAGAAATGGGCCTTTGAAGTGATATAGCATCCTATCTGATACGCTGTAAAACATATAGAGAAGTAAAAAATATAAAAATCAAAACTGTAATATTTATAAATTTAGATATGGCTCTCTTCAATCTTAATAGAAGCCATATGTCTAAGCCTTAACAAGTATTTCGAAGTCCGCTGTCATCCCACTTATATAATGCTGTGTGATGCACTTCCCTAAATTTTGTGGTGTAAAACCAGAACCCTTTTATTATGCATGGATTCTGTGCACCAGAAGTTTTGATGAGGCACAGCAGGGAAACCTTGTCTTTGTTCCACAGTATCTGGGACCTCAGCTGGAAATATTCCAATGGTTGAGTGCGTTTGGAATAGTTGGAATTGGACCACTTGGAACTGGAGGACCCATTCCAAGATGGCTGCTTCTCTTACGTGCTTGGTTCCTTGGTGGAGATGGCTGAAGGCTGGTCCCAGCTGGGACTGTCAGCCCAAGTGTTTACATGTGGTGCTCCAGCAGCACAGCCTCAGAGCAGTCAAACTTCTTACATGGTGGCTCATGTCCCACTGAACAAGATTGGTAGAAGCTGCCTGGCTTTTTATGACCTTTAGGAGACACAGTGATACTTCCATTATATTCTTTTGGCCAAAGCAATCATAAGCCTGCCCAGAGAGGAGGACACTTAGACCCCATGTCTTAATAAGAAGAGTGTGAAATAACTTGCAATTATGTTTTAAAAGCATCACAGCATCTGACTTTTCCAGACTTAGTTTCTATAATTGCACTTTTTAAAAGAGGAGAATTATATATTTCTCTCTCTTTCTGTTTTTTTCATGGGTGAGGGAACTCATAGCATCAAAGTAAATGTTTAAAATATCCAGATTAGCAATAAAACCAGTGATTTCCACATAAATAGCATTTATAATTAAAGTTGGTATGTTTGGGACAGGGAGATTAGTGACATATATTTGTTATTTGTAGAAATGTATTTTTGGAGTTTTGCAATAGAAAGGGTTATTTATAACTGGTTTCAAAGATAATTACCTGGTTAATAATAGTTTAGCTCTAATGATCTGTTAAGTGAGATGTCAAACATACCTTTTTATTTGCACTAACCTACAGTTCCTAGGAAATCTGATGGCCTTAGGAGCTACCCAGGAAATATCACAGAGGCAGAAGTGAAGAGTATTTTTTGTAGAGAGAGAAAGATTAACATGTATCAGAGGGAGCATATTGTGACTTAAACACTGTCTCATTTAATCTGTACAACAACATTATGAAGAGGAATCCACAACTCACTGATGGACAAGAGCACTCAAGTCTCTTGTGCATCCAGATTTGGAGTCACATCGATCTGGCTTCAAAGCCCAGACTTTTACTCCTTCCTACCTTGCTACCCCAGGGAATGAAATCAAAGTGAAAGAATAGCAAATATTTCCTTTTTTCTTTTCAAGCTCTCTATTTTTCTGCATGTATTATGTACAAATCATCTACTCACTTATTCCTACTGATTTCCTTGCTAACATCCACCCACTCAGGCTTAGAAAACTGTAGGTGGACTGATGACAGAGACCAGAGGGCTGAATGTGGCAGTGTGGGTCAGTAAGTGTGAAGTGAACTGGGAAGCAAACTTCTGGTGCCCCTCCTTTCCTATTCCCAGAGGCCTGTAATGAGAAATGCGCTATGTCAAAAGCAGTCCCCAAATAGAACACGCCCCCAGCAGGTTTCCATTCAGGGCATGCTGTGCATCGTAAACTTCGGATTTTCCTGCTCGTGAATTTGAAAAGTTGTCTGGTGAGAAAGCTTTGGAGCTGAGACTGAGGTTCAGAACTGGAGAGGAGGGTAGGGAGAGGGAGAGCTGAATGGTAGGAACCAAAAAGCATTTGGTGTATCGTCATTGTTTGGATTTATACAAGGAGAATGTATTTGTTTATTAATATTGAAATAGAAAAATAAAACTGCTATGATCAATTTATCATAGAAAAAGCTGGAATAACTAAGTACAGAAAGAGAAACTAGTTTAACCAGAACAGTGCCCAAAGGGAGCAAAAACTTCTTAAATTAAACATGCTGAAATTGTGGCTGATATGTATAGGCAGAAAGCCTTTTCTCATTGTTTTTGTTTGTTTGTTTTTATTGTTTGGTTGTTATACATATAAAACCATATTCTCCTAAAGAAGAAAAAGCCAGATATAAGAGACATGTAAGTTTTGCTGCTGGAAGTAAAACTGTGACAAAGAAGGCACTTTAAAAATAATCTGATCCTGCATTTTATAGATGAAGGAATAGTAAGAGGGAAATAAAGAGACTTATAGAAAGTCAGACTACCAATTATTAGCAGAGTTTCATTTAGAATGTAAATCTCCTGATTCATAGTATAGTGCTTTTGTTTGAAAATAATTGCAGAATTTATGGTTTGATATCTTAAAAGCAAAGGATTCTGGACAGTTTCTAGCGAATATCTGAAATTAGCTGTAAAATGAGGTAAAACCAGTCTTCTGAATTGTAAATTACATCTAAGTTACTGAGTACTTGGCCTTTATTTAAAATGCATATATCTAATAAAACTTCTTTGAAATGGTCAACTGAACATAGGATTAGAAAATAATGAACCTGGTGTCTGATTGTCTTTTAAAATATCCCCACGTTAACTTGCTTTGATGTAGAAATAATTTAATAATTTGTGTATCCTCTTAGATCGTCAAGTATGTAGATCTCCTAGAAGATCTCAGTTTAAGATCTTCTGTCTTAATTGCTGTCCAAACCATTAATAACTTTCAGAATTCTTAAACTTTCACCACAACATATTCCAGACTGCCTCTTACTTCTAGACATGCCACAACTCTGGTTTTCCATGAGTCCAGATGTTTTTAACTAACATGTATATAGTCATTGCAATCCGGGCTTCAGCATTTCCAACCTTGTGCTTCCTCTATCATTTTCTGCTTATATATTACAATTCCCTTTCTCCATTTGTTAGTCATCTGAATAGTCGAGTAGTGCTTGGCATAAAGTTCTTTTAAAGCAAAATGCCTAAAAACCCACACTTTAGATCCTGAGTGCTAGCTTCTTTTGCTCCTCTCTGGCAGTGTTTTGGGAAACAACTCCTGGAGTCCAGAAATTAGGTCTATCTCACTTGGTGGACAGAGCAGGCTCACATAAACAGTCCCTAGACACTTTGTCTGATCACCACGGTGCCTGTGATAGGTATGCGTGCAAGTTGATTTCAGATATTGAAGACAGGTGAAATAAAGATGCTTTGTGTAATAAACCTAAGTACAAAAATGTAGAAGAGTTAAGGGGTCTGACTGATTTTGCACTAGGCATTCTTAATTGGATTTGAAGAGTAGAGGGAAATTGGCTGGAGGTTTTGAGGGAGGAGGGGTGTGGTGAGAGTGGATGGTAAAATCATTTAGACAGGGCATTCAAACAACACTGACAAGTGGGAAGTGTTTGACCAATGACGGGAACATTGTGTTCCTTTTTGCTTTCAGATGCGAATTGGACTGCATTCTGGGTCAGTTTTTGCTGGAGTTGTTGGAGTTAAAATGCCCCGTTACTGTCTTTTTGGAAACAATGTCACCTTGGCTAACAAATTTGAGTCCTGCAGTGTGCCACGGAAAATCAATGTCAGTCCAACAACTTACAGGTACGGATTGCACTGAGCACCTGAAATCTATTATTTTTATCTGCATATGATTGTCATGTGTTTTTCATTGGTTTGTTTCATTCTCCATAATTTGTTTTTGCTTAGATAATCTTAAAGGAGAAAGAAAAGCAATAGCTTTTGTCATCCTCACTTGAACCTTTTTAAAACTACTCGCTAGCTTCTTGAGAACGACTCTCTTGAGAGATTTGTAGCCCAGCTGTAATCCTTGACACACACCCTATCTTCCTCCATTATTATTATTTTCAAAGCGTGTATTAGTTTTCACAGTGCTTTGACAGGAATTTTGACACCAACTAGCCTACTGCAGTACCATTCTGGCACTGACTACCCAGAGTTACCACAGACCCTACAACTTAGAGGTCAAGGTCCCCAACAAGACTCCCTTTCATTCAGATGCCAGCTGTCTATAAATTTGATCTTGTTTTAAAAATCCAATTATATTGAAAACAAAAAAGTTTTCCGGATCTATGTGCTAGCTAATTTACACCAAGCAAATTAACTTTCCTATTCTCAGAGACAGCTATTTTACAGCATCTTCTTTCTCCTTAAAGCTCCAATATCCTTCCTTTCCAGCTCTGACTTTAAATTGATAACTTCATTTCATATTTCACAGCAAGAAATGTTGCGGTCAAATAAACTAAACCACCTTCATGCCATCCCTCCGCATGGCTGCCCCAGTACCCTTGTCTGGGACCTTTGTTCCTGTCACAGTACACCACCTGCCCTGTTCCCATTTGAGATCGTCTCTTCCAGTTTTGCTCAGAGTGCTACTTCTTCTCACCTTCTCAAAACTTCTCCTGAAAATAAGTGCTCTCTCTTTCTGATCAGTTTCTTGGATGGAATGATTATTCCCATAATACAGACATATCTTTCTATTAAACCTCTTAAAAAATATGTATCTTCTGGGTGGCCTGGTGGCCTAGTGCTTAAGTTTGCATGCTCCACTTCAGCAGCCCAGGGTTCGCTGGCCTGGACCCCAGGCGCGGACCTATGCACCACATATCAAGCCATGCTGTGGCAGGCATCCCAGATATAAAATGGAGGAAGATGGGCACAGATGTTAGCTCAGATCCAATCTTCCTCCACAACAACAACAAAAATATATATCTATCTATCTTCCTTGTTTCCAAGTCTGTCTCAGCTACCCCCTATATTTCAGCTCCTTTTTCCAGAAGAACTCTTTACGAGAATTGCCTATGCTCATTATCTCTGCTTTTTCACCTCCCATTAGCTCTTCAATGGACTCTAACCAGGGTCTGTCCCTTGCATTCCTCTGAAATGGTTCTTATCAGGGTCATCAGTGGACCTTGCTAAAATCATGGTCAATTCTCTCTCCTTATCTTCCTCAACCTCTCGGTAGCAATTGAACAGCTTGAGTATTCCCTCCTTTAAACATTTTCTTCTTGAGGCTTTTGTGACACCACGGTCATCTGGTTTTCTCGTTAACCCACGGCTACCCCTTGTCAGTGTCTTTTGTTGATGCTCCTTCCCTAACGGACCTTTGAACGTTCTAGTGCCCAGAGTTCTGTCCCTGTTCTCCTCTCTGTCTGAACTTTTATGACTCACGTTTTTTATCTCTAGCTCATCCCATAATTCTCCACTGAGTAACAGACGCATATATCCTATTCTGTGTTCTACTTGGATGGTTAATTAACATATTAAAATTAATGTGGTCATAAGTAATTTCCCACACCCACCAGCCCAACGAAACCTTCTTCCCACCCAGCCAAGCTTTATCAAGCTCCTTAAAATAGCACCACCATCCACCTAGTTACTTAGTCCATAAACCTCAGAATGATCATTCCTCTTTCCCCCTCACAGCCCAACACCACCATCTATAAATTATATCCTGAATACAGCTTTTCTCACCTCCTTCAGTACTGCAGCCCACGCCAAGCCACCCTGATCTCTCCTACCTCAGCCAACCCAGTATCACCCTCACTCTTCTTCCTGCTCACTTTCCTGCACATGTCCTCCCTACAGTTCATCCTCCACACAATAACCAGATTATCTTCCTAAAGTACAAATGAGATTTTGTCATTCCTGGGTTTAAAGCCCTCCAATGGCTCCCACTGCAACCAGAAGAAAATGTAAACTTGTGACCACAGACTAAAATGTTCTCTTTAACCAATGTCCTGCTGGCCTCTGCCACCTCATTTTCTTCCACTTTCCCTTTCATTCACTGGTCTCCTGCCTCCTTGGCCTCAGTTTTCTTCGTCAGACTTGCTAAACCAATTCCTGCATCAAGGATACTTGCGATTCCTCTGCTTTACACCTCTCTCCTGGATCATCCTGTGTCTTCCTCCTTCTCATAGCTAGACCTGAAGTCAGATGTCACCCCATCAAAGAGATATTCCTCAACTGCCGTAGCTAGAGGAACAAGCTTCCCCTCATACACCCTCATGTTATCATCTTCTCAGCTCATATCTCTGTCTGAAATAGCTTTTATTTGTGTGTTGATTGCTGCCTCCCTGTGTGGAATATCAGCCTCCTGTGGTAAGCATTCTGTGTTCCCAGCTCCTAGATCAGAGCCTGGACCACACTAGGGAAGCAATAAGTGTTTATTAATTGACTGTTGACTCTTTGACATGAAGGTGAATCAGTATATCGTGAGAACTGGAAAAGTCCCTCTGGATCATTGTCATGATAACCACCTAAAGTCAAACCAGGTGTGCCAGTTGGGGTAGGACTCAGTGCCCTCAGAGGACATGACTCTGCTCTCTGCAAGATTTGAGAGGAATCATCCTATTACAACATAGGAGTCAGTCTCTGATACCTATGCTGCTTTCTCAATTTTCAGTAACATAATATGCATCCGTGTGCGTATTGAAGAGTCCTTGTGTGTATATCATTTGCATACAAAAAGTATAGCTTTCTGTTTCTCCTATTTTAATTGTTTTTAAGCAGTATGAAACTAACTCTTTCAAAAATTGTCTTTTGTTCTATATCTCAAAGGTCTTGAGTCATGATAGGAGACATTGATATTAGCTAGTCATTTTACTCCCAAAATATAATTCAGGATCTTGGTTCTCCCAGCGGAGCAACCTGACTTTTGGATATACATTTCCAGCAACAGGACAAGGCTCATTACTTGCATCTTTAGATTCACTATATTGACAATGTTACTAGAAATGCACATATAGGATTTTATACTATAGATAGCGTTAACCTTTTTGTTAATAAAATATTTTTATTACAATAGTGATATATGCCCACTTTAGAAAATTTATGAAATCAGAACGTTATAAAGTAAACAAAAATAATTCATAATCTCACTATCCAGAGACAATAAGTATTCACATTCTTTTCATTTCTTAGTATATGTTTATGTACACCTAAATGATAATGAAAATTTAACTTATATTGACTTTCAATAAATATACTAAAGTCATTTCTACTTTTTATAAAGTATGGCATACTGACTTTTTCCTTTTTTATTGATTTCAGTAATAATTTACTTATCTTTTATTCTTATATAAGAAATATTTATATCTTATCTAAAGGGCAAGCGATGGTTAAAATGCTTTATTTAGGCCAGAAGTAAATATTTAATGTGAAATACTTTTAATAACATTTTAAAATGCTTTCCTTTAGAAGTACTCTATAGTTAAAGTTCTGCACACTCTGCTTCAGCAGCCTGGGTTCACAAGTTTGGATCCTGGGAGCAGACGTACTCCACTCATCAGCTGTGGAGGCATCCCACATACAAAAAATAGAGGAAGATTGGCACAGACGTTAGCTCAGGGCTCATCTTCCTCAAGCAAAAATAAAAAAGAGAGAGATTGGCAACAGATGTTCCCTTGGGGCAAATCTTCCTCACCAAAAAAAAAAAAAAAGCAGAAGAAAGAAAATTTGAAGGGGAATAGATGATTTAAATTTCAATCAAAAGTCTATACTTTGTGAAATTTAATTAATAATTGGATTATAAAATAAAGACAAAATATTAGTTTTACTCAAAGTTCAGGACAAGCAGTAGGCTCTATTAGAAGTTGTACAAATATAAAAGGTAACTATTTCTTTGCAGAGCTTTATGGTAATACATTGAATTCTGAGATGGCATTTCTCAAATAATAAAATAATATCAAGCATAGCTTCCTTGATATATTTATGAAACACATGTAAAGTTAGGACTCAGAGTACATTCCCAAACACACAAAAAATCCTTACCTTCAAACTTCCGCTTCCAAATTCTAATCAGTCATTTAGAATGCACCAATGTAATGACAATTATACATTCTTTTCTTTTAAACATCAGGAGGAGTTTTACTTTTTATTTTAGGGGACCATTTTCTGCATTTTGGTGTGTTTTTACTGAAGTGCAGAGAACTGACAGAGACTAGGTTAGGTAATGTTTGTGTTTCAGGTTAGGGGATTATTGAGAGGTTTATGTGGCAATCCAGGGATCATTAAAGACAAAAATGGTAGATGGGGGAATATAAATGGATGTTGTCCAAGGTGGGGGGGGGTAAGTTGACCTAGGAACTCCTATTTGCAGGAGGAGTCTGAGAACATAGTGACAGAGAAGCAGGACTTGAATCCCTTAAGGAGGAAGAACACAGAGAATAAGGGAATATGGGGGAGATGACAGAAAATAGGAGAGTTGATGCACAATTTAGGGGAAATGGTGTCTGGTGTAGAGGGAGTAAAGGAAAACTTCCACCACATGTGGACTTCTGCGCTGGGACTGTTGCTGCTGTTCTCGGGTCTTACTATCATCAAGCTTTCATCTAAATGGTTTTATTTTTCCAACCCGTTTTTCTTATAAAGTCTGATCTTTTTTTAAAGATGATTTAATGAGCATTTCTAACTCCATGACATTCTAGTTGTGTTTATCTGTAAGTTTCTTTCAAAAGCGTGGGGTTTGTATTCAGAAGAATGTCTTACAGTCCCAAATGCAGGGCTTACCAGATGCGTGATCTTGAGCAAGGCACTTAGTAAATTCAAATGATAGACTTTAAAGCAACTTCTAACTGCTGACTATTTTTATATAAATTTAAATACAAGATGATGATTATAATTACCATATTTAACAGGAAATATTGGGTGGATGTGGATAGAAAAAATAAATCCTTATCAATCACCTATAAATTTATACTTTTTTATTAAACGTTTATAGTGTTATACATTTTTATATTTAAATTTCTTTTTAAAGATTTTATATTTTTCCTTTTTCTCCCCAAAGCCCCCGGTACATAGTTGTATATTCTTCGTTGTGGGTCCTTCTAGTTGCGGCATGTGGGACGCTGCCTCAGCGTGGTTTGATGAGCAGTGCCATGTCCGCGCCCAGGATTCGAACCAACAAAACACTGGGTCTCCTGCAGCGGAGCGCACGAACTTAACCACTCGGCCATGGGGCCAGCCCCTATATTTAATTTTTAAACATTTCAAACATATAGAAAAAATAGAAGAAAATATGACACCCATGTAGCCGATGGTAATATTTAACCAATGTCAACATTTTGCTGTATTTGTTTCAGATCCCTGTTTTATAAAAGAAATAAAATATTACAGTCCCCTAGCCCCCATACTCGGACACACTGCACTCTTTGCCCCTTAGGGTTTGTGGGAGCAGCTGAGAACATGTACTTCCTGCGGACCGGCAGGCTCCCAAAGAGAGAGGCAGAAAGGCATTGAGTAGGGCTTGAGGTTAGCATAATGGACAAGTAGTTAGTAGCAAATAATAAAATTTGGTAGAACAGATTAATTTAAGAAGAAAAAATTTTACAAATACTAGCAGCTTCCCCCAAATTTGCCGCTAAGATATGTGGCTTCTGTTTACCTGGAAGGAAAATGGGCAGAGAGAGGCCAGGAATGTAACTCTTATTTAGATTCCTCCAGATAGAAAAACAAAGCCAGGGAAAAATAGATTCCCACTCACCCTGTCCAGATCTTTTTAAGACTTGCCTTGAATCCACTAAATATTATGTTTTTGAGATTTTTTTTCTTGATGAAACGTAAATCTCGTTCATTTATTTAAACTCTTCTTAATGCAGTGGTATGCTGATAAACCAGCTTTGGGGAGTGAAGTGGAGAATTCCTGATTTCTAACATTTGCCCATTTCTGTGGTGTAAATACTCTCACCATGGCAGGTTTCAGGCTAGTGATGGTTTAAATCGCCTGCAAAATTCCTGAATTTTTAACAGTTGGCTCACACAAGCCAGTAAGAGCCAGATCTAGCGTGATATGATATGTGTTCTAGGCTATGAATAATCCAGTCTGTCTTCTACCCGTGGTTAACCAGAGTATATCCAGTTTTCCATTATTACAAAAAAAGTGATAAATATTCTTATACATATGTCTCTAGTGATACCTATAAGTGATTTCCTGGATCATAGGCTCTACCCAGTTCCTGCTTTACTAAGCATCAATCAGCTTCCAAACTGGTTTTACCAATCTATATTCCACCAACAGGAGACGAAGTTTTCTCTTCCCTAGTGCCTGATATTATCAGACTTACTAACTGCTACCAACATAATGAGTATTATGTGATATCTAATTGATGCTTAATCAATCTTCTTTAGTCAATTTATTTAATCTTCACAATTGTCCTAAGGGACATGTGTTATTATTATCCCCATTTTAAAGACTAGAAAACTGACATTTTTGCTGCTATTCAAACCTAGATCTACCAGACTTTGAAGCTTATACTATTAATACTATGGAATTCCGTAACTTTTCATTATATACTACCAGATCCTATGCCTTATAAAAATAGACACTCAAAAATATTTATAATTTCATGACTATGGCATCATTTTATTAGTTTTATTATTTTGCAGATTATATATTTATTGATGCACTGATAAAAATTAGTTAATTAAATACTCATGTGTTTTATTCTCCTGGAAGTCTGTCATTCTTGAGACCCAGACTTCTGTTTACTTGGTTTCTTCGGTCGTAGAAGGGTGTCACAGCACCAGGTCTAATACAGCGTTATCGTTCTATTTCATTTAGATGTGACATTGCAGACTTGTCAGTGGAGCGCCATGGTCTGGTTGGGCAGACATGAGAAGTGATTTTCTGTAGAAATTGGTTTGAAGCCCAGAACTAGTCAACATTTTTCACCCATGGCCTGAATAATGGATTAAAGAGATGCTTATTAAGCTTGTATTTGACAGAAAGCTAGGGAAGCAAATGAGAAGAGGAGCCACTAACTTTATCAATAGGATTGGGATTAGAATGAGTTTAGCATAAGGGACAAGTAGTTAGTAGCAAATAACAAAATTCGGTAAAACAGATGAATTTAAGAAGGAAAAAATACTGTAAATACTAGATAGTAAGTAGAGTGTCAATATGTACAGTGAAATCTCATTTTATTCCAACTAACCTAGAATTCATAAAAATTCTATTGAGAGACCCAAAATTTATTCTCATATTATTTTATATATCTTATATAGAACTTTTCTTTCACAACTTCTTGCCCATGATTACCTCTCCTAATCATATGTACAATATGTACAAAATGAATGAATTGATAAATGGATAATGTCTTACCTCTTTCAACTTAGGAAGCCTTATTCAATAACTTTTTTTTTTGCTATTATTAGACTTTTGAATTATTTGGGGTTTTTCTCCAACTACTCTGAATTGCACTGTTATATTACAGATTATAACTTTACAAAAATATTTTATACTTATTTTTCCTAATATTTTTCCCATTATTTGGTAGAATTTTTTTGTGATTGTGAATTGATTCTTCATTGTTCTTCTTCTGTGAAGATGTTTGTTAACATCATTAGGATCTTTCTCACAATCATGCTGAAAATGGCTGGTTTATTAATATTCTCAAGAATATTCATTTAGTTGTGTTGTCTTTTCTTAAGTAGACAGTTATGTCAGTGTTAAAATTTAATATTAATGTGTTTAATTTAATCTTTTCAGATTACTCAAAGACTATCCTGGTTTTGTGTTTACTCCTCGATCAAGGGAGGAACTTCCACCAAACTTCCCCAGTGAGATTCCTGGAATCTGTTATTTTCTGGAAGCTTATCAACAAGGAAAAAATTCAAAACCATGGTTCCAAAAGAAAGATGTTGAAGATGGCAATGCCAATTTTTTAGGCAAAGCATCCGGAATAGATTAGCGAAATATATACCTGATTGTTAGTCTTTGGGGTTTGGCTCCTTCAGGCATGTGTGGAACCTCTGAAAGCACTTTAGGATTGTGGATGGCTAAAGAGCAGTATTACAATTTCAGGAGCTAAGTCACGATCTACTTTTTCTTCCACTTAATGTAACAAAAATGTATTCACTTCAATACTTCAACTCTGCAGTGAAAAACGAAAAAGAGGGAAACCTCAAAAAGTGACTTTTGGGGACTATTTCTGGTATATAACAATCACTTATTACCTGTACTCGAAATTCAGCACATTGTACATATATCGGGTAATTGTAGTTAACTGTGCAACCTGATGGAGTCACCTGCAGTGCTGTGTCCTGGTGGAATGCCATGGTTGTTCAAGTGTATTTGTGATAGTGTTGCCTTAAAAAACACTTTCTGAATAGAAATTATTGTCTTTGATACCGTAAGCTCTTTGAAACTTTCAACTCTACATTTTATTACGTTTCCTCATTTAACTGTCAGCATATATAACAAAAGAGAATTTTTTTCCTATTGCACTTTTCTTTTTTTAAGAAAATAAGCAATTATGGGTTAGGTGCAATATAAATATAAAATAGTTCTTCTGTAAATATCAAAGGTTATTTTATAAAAATATTCTCCATAACCTAATGTGTCATCATAATAAATACTTCCTTTTGTTTGAAATTTTTTAAAATTCTATATATGATAAAGGCTATTTTAATTCATATTAGCAATTTAATTCCTATTAATGCATTTTTGTGTCATAATATTTAGGTTAAAAGAGGCTTATGGCCTATATTAAAATGCAATAATATTATTCTAATTGAATTTAACCAGAAGCAACATGGGGGTAAAGTAAACATCCAGAGAACATACTATAAAGTACAAAAGTAAAACATTTATACACACATGCACATACACATGGAGTATTTTAATCTATTTCAGCAGACATCATCCATTGCCATGCTGAGCCATATAAAAGTTCCAATAAGAAAATCTAAGTTCGGAGGTGAGAAATAAGACTTAGTCTTTTTGCTGATAGCTTATTTTTAAGTATTTTTGTTGCACACACACAACAAAATGTTTGGTGTGTGGATATGTCCAAGGAATCATCAAGTTTTTTGTCTTATTAAGTACACATCTGTGAATTGTTTATTCTGGTTGAAATATCTCAACGATGTTTTTTAAAGAGAACGTTGATATAGATGAAGAAAATGATGCTGTGATTTCACTATGGAAATTTCCAAACATTTTTCTCAAGCTGGAACTTTTGTTTTTAATTTTAGTTTAGACTAAGACCTCTGGTGAACTCAATAACCCGCAGAGTTTGGTTTGGGGTAGGATTTGATTTTAAAAAGCTCAACTTCAAAGCCAGAGAAAGACGAACGTTATAGTTTTTAAATCAGTATTCACGGAGCCATAGATACACTGAATTCATTTGGGGTTCTAAGAAAAACTCAGTTTAAAAGTCTTTTAATTGTCTCCATTAGTGCCCAGGCTAGCTCATGATGACCTCAGGAATAAAAAGTCATTATGGATTGATCTCTCATATTCCAAGGGTACTACTATAGATATTTCCATTAGATTACTATTTACTAAATGATACCTCAATGTCTTGAAGGATTGAATGTGTCTCATTAAATACCCATCCTATTATTGGAGATTTCCACAAGCCTTGGGAAAATATAGTTATAGTCTCATAATTATATGAAGTTAATAAAAGCATTTAAAAGGAAAATAAAGACTTAAATGCATTTTTCTTTCTGGAACTGAGCCCTTATTTTAGGGAATATAATAGGAAATTAAAAGCATAATAAAATGTCTTCATCAAATATTTAAGCAGACCCCAATTTGGTGATAATTTTTGTTTTAAAGTTTATAAGTTAATTAGAATTCAAAAAATATTTATGTGTCTGTGTGAACCAATGTAGGAGAATGTAAAGAATCAGAGTGAAAGCTGTATGGAATTCCTTCTACTATTCCTGCAATCTTTATGTAAGTTTGACATTTTATCTAAATAAAAAGTTACCAAAAAGTGTATTTTCCTGGAGAAATTAAATCATTTGTGATAGATTCTCTAGGCCCGCCTACAAAGGCTCCTTAATTATGGAATACTTTGTGGACCTTAAGCAGGATGAACATGCATGTCCATGAGAGAATGCATTCAAAATCCACAACTTGGATGCGAAAAAATGTGAGAAATCCCTGTTCCCTCTCTGTCTTAGCCACTTTGGAAATGGAAGTATGGAGAGGTCTGGAGACATTTTCAGATCCAAACCACTGATGTAAGCCAGGGGCAGCCGCCATAGAGGGTAGGTTCCCAAGGAAAGTAACGGACCAGAATTCCTCTGAGGTTAGGAGTAGACTTGAGGATGGAGAAATGAATGGGCAGAGAGGGCGTATGACAAGGTTAGAGGGTGAGGGGTTCTGATTCTTGTTCTGAATCTTGTTGGCAGTTTTACTATCCTGAAAAATAATGTGGGGTCCCAAGACTGCTTCCCTACCAGCCTGTTTCTTCTGAGAATTCCAGGCGCTGTTCCTACTATTCTGGTTTTATTGTTTCCATTCATGGCTTCCTGTCCCATCATTTCGTGACCAGTACACAAAATAAATTCCCTTTTCATACATGGTGCTCAAGGAAGCATAGAGTTCCACTGAAGTTTTCTGAAGATATTTGCATCAAGAAACAAAGAGAAATAACGATGTAAAATGCCTCTTTCCATTTTACCTTACCTTTCTATTTCCATCTAGACTTTGTAAGAAAATGCACATTTTGAACCTAAATACTAATAGATTCATTTATTCATTTTCATTTATTTATTCATCAAGCATTTACTGAATGACTACTTTGTGCCAGAAATAATGCTATTTTTGGAATTCAAAGAAGTATGGCCCATTCTCTCAAGAAAGGAAAATGAAAGATGAACATAAGATAAATAATCACGAAATTCTGTGGGAGCACAAAGTATGAGACTCAGTGCTTGCAGGTGTTTCTTAGTCTTAGCATAATTCATCAAGCAGAGACGGGGAAGGACGTGGTCCAGGCAAACAAACTAGTACACACAAAGAAACGGAGTCTCAGAGATGTATAGTATGTTCCAGACAGCCAGTTGCCTGGAATGAGTAGGGAGTAAGGAGAATGACAGAAAGACCATTTGAACATAAATCATGAAAGGGGCTGTTTGCCATGTTAAGGTGTGTGATGATAAGTATTACTAATCATCATTCTTATTAATTTCCATGGAGCCCTTTGTTCAAAATAAATCTTACAAAAGAAAAAAAAAAGAAAAAAAGCAGACTCGCTGGCTTCTGCTTCCCTCCCCAAGAGTTTTAAAACTGCTAGACAAGGGAGATGTCACAGACGTTAAAGAAAGAAGACGGTATAATCAGATGTGTGTTCTTGAGCAGCAGCGTCAGAAACAGCATGGATAAGGGTGGCTATTTCCTTGCCCAGATGACTAAATGAACATTCTTCTGTGTCTCAGAGGAAAATGATTCATGCTATATCCTGGGTATTTTACCACAAGCATGAATATAAAGCTGGGATGTGTGGCATTGGAATTTCATATTACTCTCAAGGCTGTTCGTCCTTCAGGTCCTTTGATGGGAAAGAAGGGAGAATTGTTTCAGCATTTTACCAATCTTTCTTCTATATTATTTCTCCTTGATACTGTCAGTCACAGGAAGGCAGACCCTGCCCAGGCCAGTCCTATGGTTAGGTTAGAAGCAGGCAGAGGACAGAACGGGTGTTCTCTAGTGGGCCGAGCAGGTGAAAGGGATGGATGAAAGGGAGTGTCTATTCCAAATAGTGGCTGAGGGGTAGGCGTGGCCCCCTGAGATTGCCCAGCTGGGAAAGTGCAGCTTTGCATGCAAAGACCTAATGAAGCCTAGGGCTATGTAATACTTTAAACCCACATTCTAGTTCTCGTCAAAGGAAAGTTAATAGTCCCAAAGAGAATGGGTTAATGAATTATTGTAGTAGTTTGAAGCATGTGGATTTTACCATTATTAATAAGTGAAAAGGAATCTCTTTGACACATATTTATTGGGACAGCTAGATAGATCACTGCCCTTCACTGAACAATAAAACATCAAGAGTTTGTTTTCCCTGATTGTGCACTTTGGATGTCTGTACTTGGAAAGTTAAAGGAAGCCAGATTGGAAGGCTGGAAGGATGGAGGGATGGGACACCTGTGAGAGGTGGGAGGGCGGTCATAAAAGGGGCTAAGCCAGAGGTGTTGCAATTCCTCTAAGGAAGAACTTACCATCTCCTGCAGAACAAAAACTCAGTGTGGTAGACACAATAAGGAAGTGCAAGTTTCTCATCTAAACGACAGGCTAAAAGGAGGGACAGCTTGCTTTATTAAACAGAGAATGCCAAAATGTAACTATAAACCAAAGTTTACAGTGTTATAATTTACATTCTTTGTTGGGATTCTTCTCAAGTCCTGGGAAATCTTCATATCCTCTAGTGAGACAGGGAAGAATCACTCCTGTTGTGAAAACCAGGAGCTTATGGAAGTAATTAGTCCCTTGTCTGTTGAGTTCAGTTTCCTTCTGCTCTTAGCCTGTTGGCTTGCAGATTTTCGATAAGGTCTAGCTTCCTTTAAATGCTTCTTTTATTATGTTGATGATGTACACTCCTTTGGTATTCTTACATTAAGCCACTTCAAGCATTTTACGTTTTATTGCCATCTATATTTCTCCTGAAGCAGCTTCATTCTTAACCTGTCACACTGCATCTGTTTGACTAGCTCACATAATCCACACACTTTTTCATCCAAAACTATTCCCTTACTTATGCCCATTTCTCCCTGTATTCAACGCCTGCAAAGAAAAAAAAATAGCACAGGCTTCATAAATGCATAGATTCCAATAAAAAAGATAAGCAAAAGAAAAAAAGAAGTGATATTCTAAAAGCCAGATTTTTTTCATCATCAGTGAGGATTCTTTTCCATCACAATAAACTTAGCTAAAGAAAGAGTTAATGTTTTAGATTTGAACAATGGGATAGAAATCAGGACAAAATTTATATGGCAGATCTAGGACTTAATCTCAGATATCCTGGTAGAACATTTTGGATAAAATTGTGCTGCCTTTCAATTTTTTAAATATTTCATGTCAAGATATTAAATTGCAAATAAACCTTACAGAATGTGAAGAAAATTGCTTGGCGGAAAATGACTGCATAATGCACAAACCTTGAAGTATTGGCTAAGATGTTTGTTAGTCTGAAATGTTGCCAAACCCATCTGTATTGAGGAAAGAGGCATGAAGTGTCTCAGAGAAAACGAAAACAAAGCAAAACAAAATTGTTATTATGGAAGTTGGACAATCGAATGTATCACACTCCTGGAGTATGAGGGACAAAACTGAAGCCTTTTGAAAACTTCTAGCGACAATGGTCATGGAATTCTGTGCCTTTAGAAATAGTGATGCCCAGTGAAACGGGGATGTGCAGAACCCAGGCACTGTTCAATCACAGCAAGCTGCCTTCTTCCCCAAAGAAACTGTAACTTGACAAGTTGAGGTGAATGAAAATACATTACTAGTATTTGAGAATGTACTGTTCCTTCGCCTCCTCCTACATGTAAATTAAAGATGCCCTGCAAAATCTTATGACAGAATTTGATAGTCACTAATGTAGAGCCGTGTTCTCCAACCTTTTGGATCCCTGCACATTATTAGTAAAATTTTTTAGTACACCAACATTCTAAGTACATAAAAATAAATATAAATTTTTTAATATTTATGGTTAATAAATATAATATCCTCTCAATCTAATAGACTACAATATAGCAGCATAACTTATTTTTTAAATGAGCATGAATATAGATAGAAATTCTAGTACTTTCTTCACTTACCCCGGTGAATCATCTTTATATTTTATTTTGGAAACTGCTACATAGGCCAGTGGGGCTTCACTTTCATTGTCATATATCACTTTGAGAACTGGATAAAAGATAAAAACCATCACCCCTCCAAAAATGTGCATGTGCTCTTATACTCCAAGACTTATATGTACTTCCAGAGGTTTGGGGACTCCCTGGAATGTACTCCTAGACCAGCTCAGTGAGGGAGCATAGACCCTCAAACTAAGAACTTATTATCTAGAAGGGAAGAAATAGTAACTAATGTTTGAAACAAGAATAGAATGAATAACCGGCAGAAGTCTGTGACTTTTGGTCTAGATGAGACCACTTTTGATTTTTGATGAATAAAGGAAATTAGATTTTTTGGTCATATTCTGTGGAATGATGCACGGGGCTTCACATACAAACAAATATGTTTTCTTTTTAGCAAAATATTTAATATATGTCTCAACAAATTCTTCTCTAGCTTTTGGTCAATGTGCATTGCTATAGGTATCCCAACTTTTTTACCTAATTTAAGTACTTCTTTTCACTTTTCCTCTATGTAAAATAGGATAGCTGTTGGATCTTGCATGGAAAACCTTCTTGATGATATCAGTATTCCTTTTTATTACTATTTTCACAGTTGCTTTAAGTAACACATTTATTTTGAGTTCTGCTTCTGGCAGAGTTGCAAAGTCTATCAAAAAGTTATCCTGTGTCTCAGGAGCTTGTTAGATATTACTGTCACATAAATATTGTAATAAAAATGTTAAATAAAAACCTTTTTAAAATTTAAAATGAGTTCTGTTTAAAAAGAAAAATGAACCATTGAATCAAGTAAAAATAATATTGTTCCAAGTCATACAAATACATTTGTTCTGATGTAGGTCTTGTTGCTACAGATAGAGGAAAGCTTCAACACAACAGTGTGGAAAAACAGGACCAACAACTATTATTTCAGGCCTTTGCTGTGTACAGGTCAATGCATCCAAAACCCCTTTTCAAAAAATTATTGTTAAATGCAGTACTAATATAATCAAAATACATTTCTTTAGGTATGTGAAGCTCTTATTTTCAACAAAACCCATATTCAAGTTTTTCAAGTCACACACAAAATTAAAAGTCAAAGAAACACTAAATTTAAGAATAGTACCGTACTTGGCTTGTCCAAGTATAAGGGTTAGT